CGCTCACGTTTTATATTTTAAATGTTAAACCCCACCCAGGAGACTCGAGGAGCGGTGCAGGGTAGCTGGAGTTGTTACGGTTGGATCAAGTGAGGATTGAGTTTATCCTCTTGAACAAATGTAAGGAATTTGAGAAATTATGTAAACCTATTTAATATTGGATTTACTAGACTGTGGATGATGTCTATTGTAATTGATTATTTACATGTGCATGTATGTACGATACTGTATGTCCTGTGGGGTGGAGCCCTGTGTGTCAGAGGCTCTTGGATTATGTCGTTTATTTAGATTTTTATGCAGTCAAGTGTGGGACCCGGTTGGGAATCTGCTTTATTAATCCCAAATCGAGTTCCGCGTCACCCACCCCGTTTGGGGGGCGTGACAGTATTCCCTTTTTTTGACATGTGGCATTATATGGAGCCTTCTCCTTCTTTTTGACACATAGGCATCACCTTTTTGCTTTCTTAAAATAAAAAAAAATCATGATTTCTTTTTATTTTTTATTTTTTCTAATTTTTCTCCAAAGTTCCTATACAGTTTAATTTTGTTTACGATATGTTTTTTTGGAATAATAATTTTCTCGCTTTCTAAAATAATTTATTTTAAATAATATTCTTATTTTTTTCTTTTTATTAAAGTTTCTGCAGTTAAATTTTTTTTTTGTGTTTTTATATACACTTGTTCTCGTCATATTTACGCATGTTTTTTTCTTAGTAGTACTCCCAACTGCTTTTATCTCATAATAAAATTACTCTGGTTTATCTCCGTTTTAAATAGTTTCTCTCACATATAAGCCTACTCAATATTTGTTTTCTAAATGTGACCTTTATAAAATATTTTTTTAATTGTTTTACTGATACACATAGGCATCACCTTTTTGCTTTCTTAAAATAAAAAAAAATCATGATTTCTTTTTATTTTTTATTTTTTCTAATTTTTCTCCAAAGTTCCTATACAGTTTAATTTTGTTTACGATATGTTTTTTTGGAATAATAATTTTCTCGCTTTCTAAAATAATTTATTTTAAATAATATTCTTATTTTTTTCTTTTTATTAAAGTTTCTGCAGTTAAATTTTTTTGTGTGTGTTTTTATATACACTTATTCTCGTCATATTTACGCATGTTTTTTTCTTAGTAGTACTCCCAACTGCTTTTATCTCATAATAAAATTACTCTGGTTTATCTCCGTTTTAAATAGTTTCTCTCACATATAAGCCTACTCAATATTTGTTTTCTAAATGTGACCTTTATAAAATATTTTTTTAATTGTTTTACTGATATCATATATTCTCGAATGTGTCTCTACTTAAAGTTTCTTTTCCTACAACCCTCTTAAAAACTATTTTTTCATATGTATCTCATACATAATTTATTTTCTAATTTGCGCCACTAAACTCTTTATTTTCTTTTAAGTATGCTCTACTTAAGTTTTTATTTTATATTCTTTTTACTAAACTAAACTCTTAAAAGAATACTAGGTCAATACAAAAATTTTAAAGAAATTTTAAATCTTTATATAAAAAGATATCACGCTGAATATACACGTGTAGCGCATAGTTTCAACTAATTTGACTAAAAAAACCAAAGCAATTGTTGATCACCTAAACAACCGTTCTTATACTTTTCGACTGTAAGTCTTTTTTTTTTTTTAGGGACGAGCAGGAATTATTAAGAAATCAAATCCTAGATAAAAACTTTAGGTTTTTTGGGAATGTTTACTTTGGGAAGAAAACTAATCTAATTTACTCTAATCTAATAATATATAAAAGAGTTAAAGGCTCTTATAATAGTACTCTTCTTTTGGACAATTATGTGGTGGCTTCTTCTTTTTTTTCCCCTTCTTCTCTTTTTTATTTTTATTCTTTTTACCTTTTAAATATTTTACTTTTTATTGTTTTTTTTCTTTGTATTTTTTTTTTTTTTTTGCAGTTCAATTTTTTACTTGAGTTTTTAAAAATCATTTTTACTCACTTTACTCATATGAAAGTAATTTCTTTTGCATGTATTTCTATTTAACTTTTTTTGTCAATAGTTAAAATAATTTTATTTAAAAGTGCCCATACTTAATTGTTTTTGTGTAATTCATATTATCTTAAAAGTTATCTTTATAAGTTTTTTTTCTACATTGTTCCCACAGAGCACTTTTCAGATTGCTATGCGGCAACCGTCTCCCTCTTCTCCTATTTTTTCAATTTTTATTATTTTTACTATTCTTTAAATGTTTTTTATTTTTATAATTTTTTTTTTACATTTCATTTTTTTACGTGTGTTTTCCTCTTTTCTAATCTTATTTTATTTTTTATTTATATATTTTGTATTTTGCCTAATGGTTCTTTTATAATTTAATCTTTTAACAATATTTGTACATGCAATCTAATATCTAACGTATATAAAAGTAGCCAATTCAACTCGGCTCCTATTTTTAATTTTTCGTCATCCTTTTAAACTTTTCCTCTTTTTATTTTTTTATTTTTTCTTCTATTTTTATTTTTTGTTTATTGTCTTTTTTCTTCGTCCCCTAATATTTTTTAACAATTCTTTTTTTCTTGAAATAATATCTTTGTTTGAAATACTTTCTTACTTCTTACATTATTTTAATTAAAATAATTTTTTTCTTTTTTTAAAATCTTCCTCTTCGTATCTTTTTGTTTTTCTTTATCTTTTCCTTGACCTTTTTTTATTTTTTTTTCTTATTTTTATTGACCCTTTTTCCCAACATTATTTGACGATCGCATTCTTTTTTTACATTGAAATACTTTGTTTCTCTCACTCTTTTAATTAAAATAATTCCATTCAAATGTCTCAATACTTAACTTTTTTTAATTAAAAACTCTTGTATAACTTTAATTTTGTTTCTAAAATGATTTTTAATATATATCTTAGCAATTTCATAAAACCACCTAACCCCAACAAATCTGTTTAATGCCACTTCTTGCTCACAGCCAACAGTAATCCAAAATTATAAAATGAACTAATTTTATCATTTTTCTTAACTAATATTAATATAAAAGTCTTACAAATATTTCTACATCAGCTAGGTCTAGAGGGAAGTTATGAGCATCACGCTCGTGCATAACTTCCATACCAAGATTAGCATGGTTAATGATATTAGCCTAAGTATTAATTACACGACCTTGACTATCAACTACAAATTGGTTGAAATTAAAACCATTTAAGTTGAAAGCCATAGTGCTAATGCCTAAAGCGGTAAACCAAATACCTACTACATGCCAAGTTGCTAGGAAGAAGTGTAAAGAATGAGAATTGTTGAAACTTGCATATTGGAAGATCAATCGGCCAAAATAACCATGAGCGGCTACAATATTATAGGTTTCTTCCTCTTGACTGAATTTGTAACCTTCATTAGCAAATTCATTTTCTGTGCTTTTCCTGATCAAACTAGAGGTTACCAAGGAACCATGCATAACACTGAATAGGGAGCCGCCGAATACACTAACTACACCTAACATGTGAAATGGGTGCATAAGAATGTTGTGCTCAGCTTGGAATACAATCATGAAGTTGAAAGTACCAGAGATTTCTAGAGGCATACCGTCAAAAAAGCTTCATTGACCAATTAGATAGATCAAGAAAACAGCAGTAGCAGCTGCAACAGGAGCTAAATATGTAACAACAATCCAAGAGTGCATACCTAGACAGAAACTAAGTTCCCACTCACAACCCATATAACAAGCTACACCAAGTAAGAAGTGTAGAACAATTAACTCATAAGGACCACCATTGTATAACCATTCATCAACAGAAGCCGCTTCCTAGATTGAGTAAAAGTGCAAACCTATAGCTGCAGAAGTAGGAATAATGGCACCATAAATAATATTGTTTTCATAAAGTAAAGATCCAGAAACAGGTTCACGAATACCATCAATATCTACCGGAGAGGCATCAATGAAAGCGATAATAAATACATAAATTGCAGTCAATAAGGTAGGGACCATCAAAACATCAAACCATCCAATGTAAAGACAGTTTTCAGTGTTGGTTATCTAGTTACAAAAGCGACTCCATAGGCTTTCGCTTTCGCGTCTCTCTAAAATTACAGACATGGTAAAATCTTAGTTTATTTAATCATTAATCATCAGGGACTCCCAAGCACGTGAATTCTCTATAAACATAAATAGATAATTAAGGACTTGTTATTCAACAGTATAACATGACGTATCCCATGTCAACCAGTCTTAACATCCAAAGAGTAAAGAATAAAGAATAGCCTATCTTTATTCTTTATCTTATAAATCTAGATTTATTCATTGTTTAGGGTTTAGGGTCACAATTTATGGCCTTATGGAATAGGCTAACAAATGAAATATCACTTGTGATCTCCACCTTATGGATCAAAACAAAATTCCACATCTTACTAAACAACGCATGCACCGGCTCCTTAGTATTTAATCCCAAAATAAATAAATATATATATATATATATATATATTACAATTTTCTTCTTACTTTGTCCCCACTGAAATTATTAATTTACAACATTTACACTTAAATTTTTGAAAAAATTTCAATTATACCACTGAAATTTAACTTTTGAATTTAATATACATATATTTCAAATTAAAAATACTAACTAAACCAGAAATCAACCATAATAATATGTGAATTCATAATATTTAGAACGGTAAACCACAAAAATTGAATTAAACTGAATTAGAATAATTATAATATCGTTTTAGTTGCAAGTTTGGCCTTATTCATTACATTACTTAAGTTATGATTCAAATCATATTGCTATAATATTTTCTCACATAAATTTAAATTTAACTTTTTTACTACTATATTTTTCTCTCACATACACAACTTAAATCATGACTTACGTGACTTAAGTTGTGTAAATGAACACACCCTTAATTTAATTTAATTCATACCACCGAATGAATTTTCTGACTCCACCACTGCACGGCAGACAAAAAAGAAGGCACCACCTTGACCAAAAAACAATATATGCACAAGCAAGAAACAAACAAAAGAATTCTAGCAAAAAAAAAAAAAGAATCTGTGGCGTATCCCTATTACATACAACTCTACCAAAACCATGGCATGGACTATGATACAATACAACTACAGCGTCGGTATGCTTGCATTATTTGCAAACGGTCGAGCCTCCAAACCAGTTGGAGCCTCAATAAGTTACAAAGTTTGCAACCAAGCCTGTTTAACTTGAACCTGAAAAAATCTAATGATACATCTATCTCCATTTCCGAATGGGAAATTCCAGAATCAGGAACCACTTAAGCCCAAAAAGAATCAGGGTAAGCATACCAATCAATGGAAGCAATGAGTTAATGACCCGACATTTTCGAGTCATTTCAATCACCACCGTTCTGTTTTGAAAGCTGATCTTTTGCCCTTTCCTACTTATGGTCAAAAGGGCATTTGCTTTTAACTGTAATATTGCTGAAAGCCAGCAGAACTCGAGTTGTGGCCTGAGCCACTACTGCTCATAGATCTTTCAATATTATCAATATCAGCCACCAGAGGAATAGGCCTTTCAGGTATGGAGGGAACAGACAAGTCCGTTTCCAACATCTTCACAACCTGATCCATTGTTGGCCTAGCATACAACTGAGGATGAGAACACAAAACAGCAATCAACACATACTTTTCCAACACTTCAGGAGAACCCTTTCCAGGCATGTCATCCTCCACTACATCTAAAGCTCTCCCTTCCCTCACTAATGCCCACGCCCAATCGGTCACAAGAGATGGTTGGTTATCATCATTCATCAGCAGAGCTTTCTTCCCACTCAAAAGCTCGAGAAGCAGAACACCAAAGCTGTACACGTCACTTCTCTCAGTCAATTGACCATATAAAGCGTACTCTGGGGCAACATACCCCATAGTCCCGGCGACCCTCGTGCTCAAATGAGTCATTCCCTCCGGGGTAAACTTCGCTAGTCCAAAATCTGCCACTTTAGCTTCAAACTTCTCATCCAAAAGAATGTTATTAGCTTTAATATCTCTGTGTATGATCGCCGGTTGAGCACCATAATGCAAATAAGCCAACCCTCTAGCAGTCCCTAAAGCAATGTTTTGGCGAAGTGGCCAACTAAGCTTGTTATCCGGAGACCCAAACAAATGATCATAAAGACTCCCATTCTTCATCAAATCACACACAATGATCCTCTGGTGACCCTCGAAATTCGTAGTGGCGATACAATAGCCTCTCAAAGCAACAAGATTGACATGCCTAACACTCGCAATAACCTCAACTTCATGAGAAAAATTGGCATCACCAGAAGCCGAGCAGTTCTTGAACCTCTTCAAAGCAACTTCAGTACCATCAGGCAAAATGCCTTTATACACATTTCCATACCCTCCTCTCCCAATTATGTATTCTCTAGAGAAGTTCCTAGTCGCCTTCTTTATCTCATCAAACGTGAACTTTACCAAATTGGTACTCCCACTAATGGAGTCCAACGCCGAGCCTAAACCCCTCTCTCTATCCGCCGCAAGCTCCTCCCTCCTCTTCTTCACTTCATACTCCTTATATCTACACCACAACCACCAACCCCCACCTATTATCAGCAACAACCCCAATCCAGAACAAATCACAGCGACCAAAATAGCAACTTTTTTGTTTTTATTCTTACCAGATCCTTGAGTCACGAAGTCCAGCGAGAACAAGCACTTGGCGGTGCCTACATCGGTAGGGCCCAAGTAATTCGCGAACGCCGCCGCGTAAATCGACGGGTATCCGGTGCAATCGGAGACGTTTCCGACCGACGGACCGGTGAGATAGAGAGCCGGCAAGTCGGACAAGGTCGTGGTACAAGCGGCGCAGGGGGAGCCGTTAATGAGCGACTGGTTACACTTGGCGACGACGTCGTCGCGGGCCGATTTGGGTACGATGGCGTCGAACTCGGCCCTGGTGGTGATGTTCATGCATCCCTGGGAGATCCAGCTGGTCTCGAAGCCGCAGGAGGAGCGGATGTCGAAATTGGGAAAGTAATCGACGGTGAGGTTTTGGTAGGCGGACCAGCAGGACTCGGCGGCGGAGATCGGGGGGAGGAAGTTGTTGGAATGGCGGAGGTAGTTGGAGAGGACGAGGCGGAGGCTCTGGAGGAGGTAGCGGCAGGTGGTGGCGACGTCGAGGGAGGAGCCGTCACGGTTCTTGACGAGATTGCGGAGGACGGAGAAGTCGAGTGGGCAGGTGACGGTGGCGTTCCGCTGCGAGACGGCGGCGGGGACGGTGGAGGAGAGGAGAAGGAAAAGGAGGAGGCGAGAGAAGCGTGAGAAGGACATTGGAGAGATTTAGAGAGAGAAAGCTAGGGTTTCATGGAGGGATGGAATGGAGATGGAGAAGAAGAGGAGAGAAGGGATTATGGGCAATTGGGTTTGACTGAGTGAGGAGAGTGAGTTTTTTCGGTTTTCGGCAGTCAGCCAGCCAACCAGTTATGACAGTTTGAAGTTTGAAGTGTTTGGGAATACCACCTGCCACGAGCTTGGGGAAGGTTCAAGAGAGGTTCCCTCGAACGACAATCTTTTTACCTAACCTTTTTAAATATTTGGAAAATTTTGGCGGATGTGCCCCATAAATTTTGTGTTTTTTTTTTAATAAAAAATTCTCTCTATATTTTTAATTTTGACATTTAACTCGATCAGTAAAAATTTTGACATTTAACTCTCTAAACTTGTCAAATTATTACAATATGGCTCAAATTATTATTGCTGTCTTAGTGATGAAAAGAAGAGTGTTAATTGCTAAAATTAAAATGTTCAAGTAGGGAAGTTACCAGTGAACGAAGTTTTTTGGGGGTAAAGTGTCCAAAATGGGAGTTGCAAGTGGGTATTTTTGTCACTAATTTAAACGAAGTATTAATTGGAGTCAAATTGCGACCGTAGGATAAGTTTAAGGGTAATTATCAAAAATTTAAAATTCAAGAGATAGTTTATCAAAATGAAAAAGTTTATCATGATATGCTAAAAATGCTAAGAAAGATTTGGTATGAAAATACCATTTAAAAAAAAATCTTATTGAGTTATTGGTTGTGTTAGTCTCCGAACTATGAGAATTGTGATAATTTAAAGTTCATTTAGTTCGTTAATTTGAGTTTTTAATTTAAGTTGAGATGTGATTTTATGTGAAAATTTTTTACTGTAACAAAAAAGATGGATGTGACTATTTTTAAGAATTTTTTACTGTAACAAAACTCAAATCAGTGAAATAAATAGGGTTTTAGTCTCTAAATTTTTAAGCACTTTGACAAATTACTTTCTTAAGTTTTGTTTCATTAGTAGTTTTTGCCTTTTTAGTCCAATGTGGTGTCAAAATTAATAAATAATTTTCAAAATTTAATCTAGATAATCACGTTCCTATCATTAATAACTGAAAATTTTAAATACTCCTCCCCCTCGGCCGTGACGAACTCATAGACACGCTTGTAACTTTCGTCGTAAATCATAATGATATTGATTACTGGAAGCAGGTTTCATTAATTTAAAAAAAAAAAATTGTTTTATATTATATGGTTATATATATTTTGTCGTTTTTGTTCTCAAACTTTTATCTGATTATCTCCTCTCTCATTTCCTTCTTTTTTTTTTTTTTGGCTTGAATCTCTCATTTATGTTGGTCAAATCACATTTTGTTTAGTTGCTCATTACATCGAGTGAACACGTGTTTAATAGGAAGTGCCGTCAATTGTTTATATCAGTTGTATTCATACGTGGAAAGGCATTATGAAAACCACAACTGAAACGACGACGTGTGCATAGTAAGGCTCATATCTTGAACTTCGAATACAAGTTTTATTGAAAAAAATAGATAATTTACTTTTAAAAATATATGAATGGATTTTTACTCATAATTTTTAATAAATATTTTTTATTAATATAATTATTTAATTAAAAAATTAAAAATAAAAAATAAAAATCATGTCTCGTACACTTTGAGTAATTTTCGTTATTACAAAACTTGGACTAGTTATACGTAAGAGGACTTTTGGGCTGCGCAGTTGTCAAAACGGATGATATTTAGCAAGTTGGTAGTTCATATCTTGAACTTCGAATACAAGTTTTATTGAAAAGAATAGATAATTTACTTTTAAAAATATATGAATGAACTTTTACTCATAATTTTTAATAAATATTTTTTATTAATATAATTATTTAATTAAAAAATTAAAAATAAAAATTAAAAATTATGTCTCGTACACTTTGAGTAATTTTCCTTATTACAAAACTTGGACTAGTTATACGTAAGAGGACTTTTGGGCTGCGCAGTTGTCAAAACGGATGATATTTAGCAAGTTGGTAGTTGAACGTTCCATCCACGTGTTCATGGATAGCATGGCTTCAAAAGGGGGTCTTTTTCCAGTATTAATGGTCTTTCGATTAGTTATATTTGATTAAAATTACATTAGAATATAAAAATATGCAAATTGTGAAATGTTAACAATGACAGGAGGAGGAAGCTATGGTTGTTTCGGTTTTTTTTTTTTTAATGTTTTGAAAAGAAAAATTATTATGAAAGAATCGTTGCGTCTACAGAAAGTTATTATTGTCTTGGTTTACATGTTGTTGTCAATGAATTTGTGTGCCTCATTTTAAATGAGATTGTTTGATACATATCTAATATATAGTCGAAAACAAAACCGTATCAATGTCATTTTTTCAATGCGTGTAAAAAAAAAAAAAAAAAATCCCAACAAATCCCCACCTCTTTCTCCACATCCATTGTTCTTTTTATCTTTTTATTAATTATTAATTAATTTTTTATATCCACAGTTGTGAACCGGCCTTAACCGACTTTTCAGGCTAAAAGAAAAACTTAATTATGGCTATCAAACAAAACAAAAGCATGAGGGCCTAATTTACTTGCATGAAATAAATTAAGTTCCGTATGACAATTTAACACTCTATATCAGAAGTCAAACCAAGTAGAGTTTGTCACGTTTTAGAACACTACACCTAATATATATTCTAATAAATTAAATAGAGATTTTTAACTAGTCAAATCTGCACATGCAATTTTTCATGGCTTCATGAAGACATTGATTCTGCGTGATTAATATTCAATACTGCAACAAAAACATATATCAGATATATAGTTTTTTTTTTTTTTTTAAAAAAAAAAAGATATATAGATAGTTTAACTGTTTTTCAAACGTCTACTGGCTAGAGGCGACCAAGAATATTAATATAAAGTTGAATGTGTGTGTATACACACACATGAATTTCTATTTTAATGATAAACTTATTGTACTTTAATTTATGGAAACAAATTAGGTCAAATCCCCACATCCCTTGGGAAGCCATGGTTTTTAGGTTGTCCCATACGCCCCACTAGCCGTATTAGCGACGCTTGTCGTCGCAAAAAAAAAAAGATGTCGTCGCAAAAAAGTTTTTGCGACGACATATCTGCGACGACACGTCGTCGCAAAAACCGTTATTTGCGACGACATTCGGATTTTTGCGACGACAAAAAGTCATCGCAAAAACCCCTTTTTCTTACAGTGAGATCATTTTCTACTGCTAAGTGCTAACTAGCTTAGAAAAGATTCATGATATTTGGCATATTCACAATGAATTTTGCTATGTGCATGAGCCAAGAAAAAAAAAATCATGTATGTGAAATACGAGAGAAGTGAATGAAACTAGAAAACAAATTATAACAAAAAAAAAAGTTTTTTCTTTTATTTTGCTTGCCCTGAAAACTAAAAAGGGTGGTCTTACGTCCCACCGGCCGGATGACCCAAAGATAGTTAGTTAGTTTTTTTTTTTTTTTTTTTTTTTTTTTTGGGGGTGGGGGGGGCGCGGCTGATGATCAGTTAGTTATAGTTTCTAGTCAAGCAATTTTTCCACATGCAAAATTAAAAATAATAATAATAATAATAAGTGAAAATAATAAAGGAAAATAGAAGTATTGCATGTTGCAACAAAATAGAGGGACAGAACTGGTGATATTTGGTGGCATGGGGAACCTATGTATTAACAATATTTATTTCACCAAGTCGGCCTTATCCGATCGAGTCTCCACCGACTTTGGCATTCAACTTACAAATACCGGATGCATGTGAATGAATACAATATATACAAAACATACAACAGACTTTGTTTTAGCCATTACAATATATACGAAACTATATTAATTTGCCACAGCTTGCACCAATATATACAAAACAAACAACAGACTTTATAACTAGGTTTATAAATCATCTTCTTATAATATGACAATCTTTTATTAAATAAATTAATTTTATCAAATAAGCTGGCAATCATGATGGTCCTCCACCCATAAGCAAATGCTTAAACTCTAACCCAGTAACGGAAACAAATTATGCCACACATGCAAGTTATAATTGTGTGTTGATCTGTAATTCATGATTATCAGAAGCATAAAATTGTGCTTATTAACTTGCACAAGAAATATTTGCGGTCATCATCTTTTCTTTTCTTTTTTGTTTGTTTGAATTATCTACGCATATATTTATATTACGTTATATTTAATATGGATTTTCTTTGACATCTCGAAAGATCGGTAAAGAACGTGTTGCTCTCCTTTTAAAAGGAAAAAAAAAAGTGTAGCTATATATAAATGAATATACATATATTCGATGGTGCCACCGCATTGATCCACAAGTTTATCATAAATTTTATAAGTTCAACATTCAAAATTTATAAGTTTTTATATAACTCCAACATTTAAAATTTGCAACATAAAAATGTATATGTTATTGGATTTTTGATACAGTATGAGGAATTAATTTCTCTCCATCTTATCAAGGGTACATGACGTGTGCAGGTAAATGATTGACGACCTTGAATAAACATATAATTTTCACTTTCCATCTAATAAAAAAAAAATATATTTTTTATAATTGTTGGATTTTAAGGTGTCCATAATGGTGCACATCTAAAAATCAACGTTTGAATTTTATTTAGAATAAAATTCACGAAACATAAGAGAAAAGTATTATTTTTAAAATATTATGAAATATTTTTAATATTTTGAAATTGAGTAATCAAGTAACTTATTATCTAATAAATAATAGAATAGATATTTTTTATATTTTGTGCTTGCTCTTGTTTTGTTTTGATAGATGCGGCTATAAATAGTTATATAATAAGGGCGCACAAACTAACGAGACAGAAATATGTGGAATTTTGTCAATTTTGTTTCTCTCTCTCTCCTAGTATTCTATAGGTATTTAAGTTGTGGATTATTGTGTTGTTTGAATATAATTGTATAATAACAACACATAATGAGCAATCGAGAACGTGGTGATAATTGTGACTTGAAGTATAAAAATCATGTTCACAACTGGAGTATCGTATCGCGAAACTATCCCATAATGATTCCTCGACTAGTGCCAAATCAGATATCCGATATATCACCACCCAAACGCTTCCATATATACCGGGTTTTTTTTTTTTCTTTTCGGTCAATAATCATCTAACCAAGTTTAGTGTTACGTCCTTTGTGTAGTTGAATATACATAAAGAAATTTCAAAAGAAAATATCACACAAAACAACTGAGTATCGTATCAACTTGCATTTATATTAAAGCTTGAAGGAAAAAACAAAATGGACCAATTGGAGTCTTTTTTTTTAATTAAGAAAAAAGTAGACTAGCTAATAACTAGTCCATTCTATATGACATGATAATTAATTACATGATATACCAATATTATATTCAACCACGCAAAAGAAACAAGAAAAAATTATCTGTTTGAACATTTTTAATTAGGAAAAAAAAAAATGTAGAAACCAAAATAGAATTAAAAACAAGTAATAGGGGTTGTTGAAATAGCAAACCATCTTCAGTTTATAACCACAAGCGGCTTTAAGATAGGAAAAGATCGACGGAAAGGAGCCACCCACCAAAAACAGATTTAGTATTGACTCTACTTATATTTGAATCAACCTCATATAATAGATTAATAAATTAATATCTAATTCGTATCTTCTATAATTTAAAAAGACAATCATGTAATACATATAATATGTGAAACAAAATTTTAAAAAATATTTATAGAAATGTTGTATAGATATATACTAGTAAGAATTACTTTAGTTGTGGGTGAAGAGTGCAATGATTTCCACACACAAAAAAAAAAAAAAAAAAAAAAATCCCCTTTGCGTGACGGTACGTTTTGATATATGGGGAATGTAATTGTTACATATCATTACATTTGTAATGATTACGAAGCAAAGTATTCTACAGATATGTTGTTTGATACATGCTTAAGGCATCGGCAATTACCCCTCACAATTAGTTATAATAATAATAATAATAATTCCCTCATTGCCATAAAGGATCTTTCTCCTTGTATTTATATGTGGCCTTGAAAAGGTGAAATAAATCCCTTAAGATAACGTCGTTTTCTTTAGCTCATAATAATTAGAAACGTCTTATTAATAGCTTACTATAATTACTATAATTGTAACACCAATTTGGAAAATATGAATAGATCTCTAGACGTCAAAGAAGAATTGGTTGCAAAATTGAGATAAACAAAACTGCTGCTTTAACAAAATTGCTACTTTCATTACTTTATTGTGGACATCAATGACCGAGACTGTATATATCAACATTCATGTGTTATTTATATGCCGCCAATAAGTATTAGGACATATTTTGACCAATTAATCTCAAAGTATCAGATTCCATGCATTAATCCTACGTGGCAAATCCTACAGTATAGGACTTTACAAAACGAGCCGTCTCTGACCAGTGAACGGATAAAAGAGGATTTTCTCTAACCGATTTCATGTGTCTCAAATGCTTTTTGTTTTATTTATTAAATAATTTAAACTCTAATTTAAAAACTTTTCTCTTTTTTTTTTTTTTTTTTTTTTTTTTTTTTTTAATAAGAAGAATTTATATTAATAAAAGAAACTGTGATTAGTAACCCGGGAAACATTGAAAAGGAGGTCATCGTTGAAGCTGTTAGAGTAACTCTGAATCCATGTCCTCGATCTCTTCTTCTTCTGATTTTTTCTGAAACTCTCTCTCTCTCTCTCTCTCCTCTGTAACTTTTTCAGCTTTTCGATCGAAGAAAACAACAAAGAAGAACCGTCGGTTACGTCTTTTACGGTATGCTTATCTTCGCCGCTTCACATACATACAAACATTTCAAAGATATTTGTACGTTTCTTTTTTCGTATTCCGAATCCCTCGTTTCCTTTTCTCGTCTCCTTCCGTTTCTCGTCTCTTCCGTTGGCTTACTATTCTCCGTTTTGCAGAACATTTCTATATTTCTTTAGAATTCTAAAACCCATTTATTGACTTTACCTGAATTATGTAAGAAAATCTCATAATCTGTTTCTTCCCAAGGTATAAAATCTTCACCTTTTTTCCATTTTTCCATTTTTTTTTTGTGTTGCTATATTTTTTTTCTCTCTCTAATGTGACGATATTACTCTGTTTTTCTTTAGGTGAAAATAGCTTCGAATATGAAGGAAAAAGACGATACTTTCTCGCCCACTTGTGTTCTCGAGGACTACTTCAGAAGCTCGGATTCCTCGGAAACATGTTCTTCAAAAGACCCTGATTCCGAAGGCGTTAAAAATTCCACATCTTCTAAATGGCACTGGTTTTTCAAATTACTCAGAACTAGATCGAAGAAGCCTTTAACCACAATGCATTCTCTCAACGTCATGAACCTTTCCAGAAGAATGAGCAGTAGTTTCCGGGAAATTATAGCCTCGAGATTCGGGTCGGAATCCGATTGCCATTTGAAGTCTCCATGGAAGAACTTTAATTTGTATGAGCTGCAAATTGCGACCAATTATTTCAGCCCTGGTTTGTGGCATAAGCTTATCATTTCTTTTATTTGTTTGTGTAAATGCGCAAAAGAATTAATAATTTTTTAAAAAAGAATCTTTCTTTTTGGTGTAGAAAATCTTATTGGAAAGGGAGGTTATGCTGAAGTTTACAAGGGCCGTTTGAGAAATGGGCAACTGGTGGCGATTAAGCGGCTAACGCGGGGAACACCGGATGAGATTACGGCGGATTTTCTGTCGGAAATCGGGATCATGGCTCACGTTAACCATCCTAACACTGCTAAGTTGATTGGCTATGGGGTTGAAGGAGGATTTTACCTTGTTCTTGAATTGTCTCCGCATGGGAGCTTAGCTTCCATGCTTTATGGTTAGTACTTTAGCTTAATACTTCTTGGTTGTCTTGCTTTAATATAAACTAACTCATAAAATCCATTGATTCGTTTGAGATAAATAGTTACTGCAAAATTTGTATGTGCTTTTGTTTCTAGGTTGCTCAAAGGAGAAGTTGCTATGGGGCATTAGGTATAAGATTGCATTGGGAACAGCTAGGGGTCTACTATATCTTCATGAGCGTTGTCAAAGGAGAATCATCCACAGAGATATCAAGGCTGCAAACATATTGCTCAGTGAGGACTTTGAGCCTCAGGTACCCTTGTTGATTTTTCTACTACAATTAATTAGGCATGGTTGTTATCCTTAACTTTTAATTTTTAGGCAGATCTTAACCATTTAAAAATAATCCAAGGGTTGTTGATAAAGAAATAGTAAAAAGTCACTAAGTATACTAAATCATTGAGCCCAACCTAACATTTATTACAAGACACCGGTGGATGACAGTCATGACCTAAATAACTTTACTTTCCTTCACGAATCTGTTGTTAATTTCTTTTTGGAATTGTTTTCATTATTTTCCTCGTTTTTGTGTATTCATTTGGGGTTTTCAACCATTTTTTTATGCAGATTTGTGATTTTGGTCTTGCAAAATGGCTACCACAGCAGTGGACTCACCACACTGTGTCAAAATTCGAAGGCACATTCGGGTTCGTAAACCTTTTACTTCCTTTCTTCTTTTATTGTCTTCCATCAAAGCTTTTGGCATTTGCATAGCATTGATCTTGTTATGTCCTGCTATTGCAGCTACCTTGCTCCCGAGTACTTGCTCCATGGCATAGTAGATGAGAAAACTGATGTGTTTGCCTATGGTGTGTTGCTATTGGAATTAGTCACCGGACGCCGAGCTCTGGATTACTCCCACCAGAGCCTTGTTCTATGGGTAGGTTGTGTGGTTTTCTAACTTAAAATTTTAGTATAAAATGGCTGCAAGTTTCTATTATACGATGATAAGTCAAAAGAATGCCTGTTGATTATTCTAATTTGTATATTTCAATTCTATTTCCAGGCAAAACCTCTGCTGAAAAAGAGTGACATAAGAGAGCTGGTTGATCCTTCTTTAGCTGATGACTACAACTCCCGGCAAGTGACTCTCATGCTCTTGGCTGCTTCCTTGTGCATACAACAGTCGTCGATTCGACGGCCAAGTATGAGTCAGGTACGATATATTGTTACAAGCAAACTTTATGGTTATTGCTAGTCAAAATGTAACCTATTTGGAGATGCATGTGTTAAGACCTTGTGGAGATATCAAGGCTTTTCTTAAGCATTTTGGTATGGTGATAAAAGAAAGGATGTTTCTTCCTAGTTTGATTTTTTTTTTTTTTTTTTTTTAAATCAGGATGGTCAAAATCGTTCACCAAAACAATCTCGGGACAATTTGATTTTGAATGTTTCCATGATTAATACTTAAAAACATGTTTATATGAAGTTGACTTGCATTGGAATCTGGGGTGCAGGTTCTTGAGCTTTTGCATGGTGACTTTAGTTGTTTGAAGCACATGAAGAAAACCCGAATTCCATTTTTCCGCAAGCTACTTCGCGAGGAACTCACTAATGCAGAAGGCTAGAACAGCACAACCAAGAATGAGTTCATCTTCATCGGCATCGGCGGGTTTTGCTTTCGCAGTCCTCAGAGTTTACGGACAGGTTCATGAAAGGAGTAGTGAAACATCAGAATTAAGTATATAGTTTACGGATATTTGTCTAAGTTCAGTCCAAAAAAAAAAAAAAACCACTGATGATATGTTTCTCAACGATCAACATGCGTGTACATACACAAACGTTGAAGAACAGAACAAGAGAATGAAAAGGCCTTTCCAATCTATGTATATATACAAAGATTTACAGGGTACTTATAGATAAATGTTATAGAAAGTTCTACAAACTACAGACCAAAAAGGCTGTTCAACCCATGGTAATTTATTGGGAAGTCATTTTTGCTTATAGCATGCTACAATTCTTTTTTTCTATAATCTTTTGTATTTTCTTTTTGGGTAAAAGTTTCATCTACAAGTGTAATTATGTATTTTCAGCACAAAAAAAAGAGTTACCATGCATACTCTTTTTTTTGTGTGTTTAAAATTGAAGTTAATAATTCCCTTAATAGAATAATTTAAGTTGATATTTCAATTAATAAAAAATGGACAACTGGAGATGTATGGGAAGAGGATAATGATAAGGGGTTAGTTTGACATTGATGTGTTGTTGAAAATTTTTACTGTTAATGTGTTGTTAGTAATAAGTTGTTGTGACCAAAAGTATATAAGTATTTAGTAAATATTTTTACAAACGGTTGTGAATATCATAAGTAGAAATTTAAGTGTTTGATAAACTGTGTATAAAATTATTGTGGAGATGTATATTGACAAAAGTAGACATATTTTAGCACATATGTATGGTTAGTTTTATTTTTATTTTTATGGTCAATATTCAATATATAAAAATATAATTTTAAATTATTAATTAAAATATTTCATAAAAATAAATTATTTTTATTGACTGAGAAAAATTATCCATCTATTAAATTTCTTATTAATTGTTATTATTTTAAACATTTTGATAATGACTAAAAATATTTAAATAAAATTTAGGATAGTATACTTGCTAAAGATTTTTAATTGCAAATAACTATCTTAAAAATATATGTTTTTTAATTTGATATGGAAAAGTACATCAGGTAGATTGAAAATTAATTTTATTATTAAGGTTATCTTCATAATTTTAGACAATCACAGCAGAAGTTGCTGTGCAAAAATAACCCCTCACATACTTCTCAAATTCCGTTATTTAACAACAGTTTTTAAAAGTTATCGGACAAAAATAGAATTTACCAAACACCTTAACTTACTATTTTCTTTATAAAAGTTAAAAATAACCTCTAAAATCAATGCCAAACGGGCCCAAGGTTTAAAGCCATCACAATCTGAAAACGGTGCAAAATGGCAAGAAATGATGCCATCTTGATGAAATTCTTTCTTGTTGTGGTGAGTTTAGACATTTGACCACATAGCAATACTTAAAACATGACCAATTTTGATAGATACACTTTTTTATTTTGGGTTGAAAATAAGAGTAGCAATTTGTGTTAATGGGTCATTTTCGTGTTAACCAGTTAATTAATCGTGTCAAAAAACATCAATCCAAACACGACATGTTTATTAAACGTGTCAAAAATATCAACCTAAACACGACCCATTTATTAATCGTGTCAACTTGTGTAACCCGTTTAAATTAATATACTGAATAAATAACTAATATAATAATGACTTATTTAACACGGTCAAGACATGTTTAACATGTTTATTGGTCAATTTATCTTTTCCTTTAAGAAGAATAAATGAATTTTACCTACAAATATTAAAATTTATATTATTTGTATTTAATATGTCATATAAAAACTCATGTTATATCACATATTATTAGATTGCAGATGACATATATAATTAATCGTGTCAATTTGTGTTAGGTGGTTAACCATAACCCAACTCATTTATTAATCGTGTCAACCCGATTATGACTCAAACCTATTTATAATAAATCTAAACTCACTAATTTCGTATGAATTTTGAGTCATCTTGTCATGTTGTTACTTAGATTACCAACCCTAATTGAAAATTTTGATAGAGATAATTACACAATTTCACATATCTATAGGGGTGAAAAAAAAAGAATATAATTTCCCGCCCTCACTGTCTACACGCAACATTAAAAGCTCGACCACACGAGACCACTGCCCAGCCCAGCCCAATCCTGACACCTACCATCAAACCCTTCCAATTTATAAGAGTGAGGTTGAAATGCAACGTTTTGAAATAGTAAAGGGCCGTTCTTTTATAGTGTGATTTGTGTGTAATTTTTAAGTTGAATTTGAGTTATAATTTGAGTTGAAATTGTAACTTAAATAAAGTTGGAACTTAAAAGAACATGAACTTAAATAAAATTGTAACTTGAGTTTAAATTTTTTCTGAATTTTGTTACAAAAGAACAACCCCTTTTAAGAGTTACATATTAATTATTTTAATGATATATGTCTTATGCTTCAAATGACATAATAATTATTTTAATATTATTATTTTTTACTATTTTCAAAATATTCTATTTTTTTTTTGTTATATTTCAATATGGCTAGTAAAATTATTTGTTGGGACTTCACTTGATATCTCCAAATCTCCTCCCAAGGGAGATCTTTTATCTCCTACGACTTTTAGAATTTCTGGACCTACGTAATCTTCTGCATCTCCTCTCCTCTGTGGTGACTGTGACTGAGACATTCCTTACGCCAGTATATAAATCTATAAATTCATGTAAGTTTATTTTGGTTTTTATAGGTATTTTCATTAGTACGGTAGACTGCCTCTAGTAATAACGATTTTTGGTGGATACTAGAAGGCACTCAAATTAATGTTAGTTAATGTGTCCTAATTAGTTTTTAACCGATCAAATCATGTCATGTAATATAAAAAATTTAACTCCTGTTCATTTCACCGATTCGAATTTAAAATTTAAATTTTACTACAGTAAAAAATTTTAAAAAATAATCATATTTAACTTTTTTACTACAGTAAAAAGCTCCAATATAAAGTCACATCTCATCTCGAATTAAAAATTTGAATCAGTAAACTAAACAGGCGCTTAGATTGCTTTTTAATTATTTTTTTGTGCTTATCATAAAATGATGTGGTGTGATTTAATTAGTTAGATACCAATTAGATACTAAAAATTAGATAATAAATTTATATCCTACTAGAGGTTATCGGCTAGCATCACGATGGGATACCGTAATTACCGATTGATATCATAGTAGAGACTATGAGTATCATGTTGGATATCATAGGTTAGGATACAATATCTTAATGCTATATTTAGTATTTTCTAAAGAAACACTTTTATATGTCCTTAAATTATTATTTTTTTAATTTTTTTAAACAGTGTCCCCATAAAATTTGCGTAAAACTTTGATGGGCTATCCACAAACACATATCAATTTAAGAAAAATAAATTTTGATTAACATGAGATTAGTAGGTTATAGTGTATTTTTCATTTTATTTAATTATATGATATGACATGATGTTTTATGTAAGGTTGGCAATTCGGGTAGCAATACGATGACACGGTTCGAAACCCGCACAAAATTAACGGGTTTGAGTTTACTATTAATGAGTTTGGTTCATAATCGGGTTGATACGAATAACACGATTAATAAATGAGTTGGGTCAGGGTTGATCTCCTAATACGAAGTGACACGATTAACTATATGTGTCATATGTAATATAATGATATGTATGAAAATTTATATGATATATTAAATACAAATAATGTGAATTTTAATATTTGTAGGTAAAATTCATTTATTTTTCTTAAAGGAAAAGATAAATTGACCAATAAACATGTTAAACATGTATTAATTATGTTAAATACGTCATTATTATATTAGTTATTTATTTAATATATTAATTTAAACGAGTTATACAGGTTGACACGATTAACACGATTAATAAATATGTCGTGTTTGGGTTGATATTTTTAACACGTTTAATAAACAAGTCGTGTTTGAGTTGATATTACAAACACGATCTACTAACATGAATTATCACCCTTAGGCCTCGTTCGTTTCGCAGATTCGAGTTTTCAATTCAAGCTTAGACGTGACATTTTCTGAAAATTTTTAACTGTAACAGAAAAAGTTAGATGTGACATTTTTTGAGAGTTTTTACCCGTAGAAATATAGAACTGAAAACTCAAATCGGTGAAATGAATGATGCTTTAGTTTTATACCAATTCTCTATTTAAAGTCGGGAGGCCTCGTTCACTTCGCTGATTCGAGTTTAGAATTCGAGTTGAGATGTGATTTTATGTGAGAGCTTTTTACTGTAGCAAAAAAGTTAGATGTGATTGTTTGTGAGAGCTTTTTACTGTAGAAAAACTCGAATTCTAAACTCAAATCAGCAAAGTGAACGGAGCTTTTTGTTGATTCGAGTTGAGATATAATTTTATGTGAGAATTTTTTATTTTATTAAAAAAATTAAATATAACTATTTTTAAAATTTTTTTATTATAATAAAACTTAAATTTTAAATTTAAATAAGTTAAATGAAGAACTGAATTTTGTGGCATATCTTAAAAGAAGCCCCTCGGGCCTTGAGTCTCACTTGATGCCCAAGTAAGAAACAGCAATGAAATCTCGAAAAAGACGAAGTTCAGATGTCGCATTGTAATAAATGAAAATAACGTTACCCATTATGTCCTCATAGTGAATAAATTATAAAAGTACCCAAGTATATCTAGAGTAGTACATTTTTTAATTTTCTTTGAAAATAGAAAAATTAAAAACAAAAATAACAAACACAACATAAAATAAAAGTTCTCTCTCTTTACGTTTTTCACATTTAACAACGAATGAAAATAGAAAGAAACGTTTTAAAACGTTAAAAGAAAAAAGAAAAAAAGAAAAGAAAAAGAGAAAAATCTCTGATCTCCATCAACACGCATATAAAATTTCCCTCGCTCTCACCTCTCACTGTGATTGGGATGGTGGGCACCGGATTTACGCCCATTTGCCTCAATCTTCGGCGTCAGAGGAAAATCCATGAAATTCTAAACTTGTTATTTATTTATTTTTTAAAGAGTGAACTCCGAAACAAAGAGTAAATAGAAACTCGGTTGCTTAACATTATTTACGAACCCAAAACTACAGAGAAGTCTGTGAGTCTAACACAGAGAGAGAGGGGGAGAGAGAGAGAGAGAGAGAGTGGACTGTGGGAGAAAGGGGCAGGGACAGAGAGAGAGAGAGAGAGAGAGAGAGAGAGATTAGAGAGAGAAAGCGAAAAAAAGCTGAGCTATGAAAGGGACCGAGGGGCCGAACTGAAGAACTAGCCTTGTTTTTCTCAAGTCAAACAAACTCCAAGGAAGCGAAACCGGAAGAGCTTGCGATCAGCGAGTGCACGGCGATTATCGGATGGTCTTTCCGATCGTCGGCGACAAGACATGCTCGTCGGCGGCGTCTTCGGAGCTGGAGTTAGCGCCGGCGGCGGTGGTGAAGGGAGGAGGAAGAGGTGGTTGTGGAGAGAGTAGTAGAAGTAGTAGTAGCTCGGGTAAGTCGGTGGCGGTAGGTGGAGGATGAAGAAAGGGAAGGGAAGGAATAACGGCCTTTTGCCGAATTCGTTCAGGATCATATCGTCTTGCCTCAAAACGGTGTCGTCGAATGCCGGCTCGGTCGCTTCCACTGTCCGCTCAGCCGGTGCCTCGGTCGCCGCCACGATTTCCGCCGCTTCTTCCGAGGATCAGAAGGACCAGGTTTGCGATTTTCTCGCCTATTTCGTCGCTTGGATTATTTTTTCTTTTCTTTTTTTTTTTTTTTCTTTTTTTTTTTTTTTCTTTTTTTTTTTTTTTCTTTTTTTTTTTTTCATGTTCTCGTGATAATTGATTTCTTAAATTGGTGGAATCTGCTATCATAAAGTTCGAATTTTTGTTCTATTACGTTTTGTACGGTTCAATTTTCATGGTTTTATAGGAAGGAAAGGATATATGATGAGAAATTAAGATTATTATTAATTTGATATGTTTAGAGGAATTAAGAACTTTTCACTTAGCTTTAGGGCGGTGCAATGTAATTAATTCTCATTAACCCGGAAATGTAATAATTAATGTTGGGAAACTTAAGAATGCTCACAGGAAAAAACTGCTTGATATGGCAAGGCGCTCAGATTTAGACGTGTGGAGTTGAATTTTACCCTTGGGCTTCAAAAAGTGATCAACTTTATGTTTGTACTTCTTGGGCAGAATTTACAAGTGTGCGAACCAAACCTCAACTTGTATAAAAACTAGACGTTCTTTAGCTTCAGTTGAATATTCTCTGTTATGCGAAATTTTATGTAGTTTGTTGCTTCAAGATGTGGTAGTGGGTCCTGATCTTAGTTTGGTTGGTAAACAGGTTACCTGGGCTGGCTTTGACAGGCTAGAGCTTGGTCCATCTATCTTCAAACGTGTCCTGTTACTCGGTTACCAGAATGGTTTCCAAGTTTTTGATGTGGAGGATGCTTCTAACTATAGCGAACTGGTTTCGAAGCGTGATGGTCCAGTATCATTCTTACAGATGCAGCCCTATCCTGCAAGTTCTAATGGCCAGGAAGGATACAGAACTTCCCATCCACTTCTGCTGGTTGTTGCTGGGGATTACACCAACTGTTCGACCATAATTCAAAATGGTACCCAGTCGGTTGGGGTATGCAAAAATGGCGGTGCGGAATCCATGTCAGGAAATTGTGCCAACTCGTCTACAAACGTTCAGTTTTATTCCCTTAGGTCCCATTGTTATGTGCATGTTCTCAGATTCCGGTCAGCTGTGTGTATGGTTAGATGCAGTCCTCAGATAGTGGCTGTCGGTCTTGCCACTCAAGTAAGCACTGGCTTATCTGTGATGATGAATTAAGTCAAGTATATGACATGTATTTCTTATCGTTCTTCTGCATGAAGAACATGGATACATATTATGGATATGTAGAATTCCAAAGTACTGATTATGTGGTTGGTTTCAATTGTTATAATGGACAGGGACCTACAAAATGGTATTGACTGCATAGTAGTGTATTTATTATTTCCTTTGAGGTTCTAGAGTTTCGGCATGAACTTTATTACTAATTGCTCTTTAATATTTCGGAGTCCATTGTAATAGTTAGGAATGGAGCAACGGTTATGCTCCCATGATTTCTACACATGTAAAGCAGGGTTAACCGTGATATTAAGATCATACCACATTTTTTTTTTGGGTTTGACTGATCCGACTATTCATCGGATAAGTGACTAACTTGCGTTCTTTTTTTCACTGGCAGATTTATTGCTTTGATGCCCTCACTCTTGAGAACAAGTTCAGTGTTCTCACTTATCCTGTACCTCAGCTGGCGGGACAAGGATCAATTGGTGTTAATGTTGGTTATGGTCCAATGGCTGTGGGTCCAAGGTGGCTGGCATATGCGTCCAATAGCCCACTGGTGTCAAACAATGGCCGAGTAAGCCCACAAAGTCTATCTTCTTCACCAGGAGTTAGTCCATCTACATCACCAAGTGGTGGTAATTTGATGGCTCGTTATGCAATGGAGTCTAGCAAACACTTGGCTGCTGGAATAATCAACCTGGGAGATTTGGGATACAAAACTTTGTCCAAATACTGCCAAGAGCTGCTTCCTGATGGGTCTAATTCTCCCGTTTCATCAAGTTCTGGCTGGAAGGTTGGCAGGCTTGCGGGAACAGAAATGGATAATGCTGGAACGGTCAGTGTCTTATTGTATATACTTTAGTGTGCAATGTGTGTGTGTGTGTGTTTTTTTTATTTTTTATTTTTTATAACCCTTCTTCTTTTAATAACATTACTTTGAAGCGCTGGTTTTTTTAAGCTATAAGTTTTATTGATTTATTACTTTTTCTTGCTTGCAGGTTGTTGTCAAAGATTTTGTTTCTAGATCAATTATCTCACAGTTTAAAGCTCATACTAGTCCAATATCTGCACTGTGTTTTGATCCAAGTGGGACCCTTCTGGTTACAGCCTCTATATATGGGAACAATATAAATATTTTTCGGATAATGCCTTCATTTACCCGCAGTGGTTCCGATGTTCAAAACTTCAACTGGAGTTCTTCTCATGTGCATCTATACAAACTGCATCGAGGGATAACTTCAGCTGTGAGTAAATAAATTTATTTTGAGAATTTTCCTCTCAAATATCCAGAATTATGCTGTAAGGTTGTATTCACATTTTTTCTTTTCCATGTTTATTTGTCTCTCAGATGATACAAGATATTTGTTTTAGTCATTACAGTCAGTGGATTGCAATTGTCTCATCCAAGGGGACCTGCCACATTTTTGTTTTATCCCCATTTGGTGGCGATGCTGGATTTCAACTTCTTAATTCTCAGGGTGAAGAGCCATCTCTATACCCTGTTTTGTCTCTGCCATGGTGGTCTACGTCATCATACATCATTACTCCACAATCTTTTCCTCCCCCTGAGCCCACTGTGCTTTCTGTTGTGAGCAGGATAAAATATAGTAGTTTTGGATGGCTTAGTACAGTCAACAACACTGCTGCTTCTCCAACAGGAAAGGTTTTTGTGCCATCTGGTGCGGTCGCTGCTGTCTTTCATAATTCTCTATCTAACAGTCTTCAGCATGGTAACTCAAGGGCTGATTCGTTGGAGTATCTTTTAGTTTATACTCCATCTGGTCATGTAGTTCAACATGAACTTCGGCCATCAATTGGTGTAGAACCAAGTAAAGCTGGTTCAGGTGTCCAATCAGCTTCACTTGTGTCCATGCAGGAGGATGAACTGAGAGTGAAAGTTGAACCTATTCAATGGTGGGATGTATGTAGACGATCAGATTGGCCAGAGAGAGAGGACTGTCCTTTAGGTACCAACTTTGATAGACAAGATGTGACCGAAACGATTCAAAATAAACCAGCCTCCAAGAATTTGTATGGACTAGAGTTGTTAGACATAAATGCTGATGATGGGGAGAAAAAGATAGTAGAAAATTACAACGGAAAGCCTTATGAGAGGTCCCACTGGTACCTATCAAATGCTGAGGTGCAAATAAGTGCTTTGAGGTTACCTATATGGCAGAAATCAAAGGTAGATCTATTATTGCGCTCTTATTCTAATTGGTTTTTGCTACCTCTAATTCATTCATTGATTACATATTTTTTTCTAGATTTGCTTTGATATGATGGGTTGTCCAAGAGTTGATAATCTTGATAGTGGAGAGTTCGAAATTGAAAAGTTACCTGTTCATGAAATTGAAATGAGGCAAAAGGAATTGTTGCCTGTTTTTGACCATTTTCATAGCATCAAATCAAGCTGGAATGACAGGTGACAACCATTTAATATATAGTCACTTTAATTTTCTGAATTCTAATAGCTGTAAAACATTTTACGTATGTAGTCTTATCTTGAAATATTGATGATTGTTTTTGGTAGAATTGACATATTGATGTTTGTATCTTGCTAAATGTCTCTTTTAATTATTGGAGCGACGTGTACTGTTTTGTTGTGTTTGTGAGAGGATAGGTTTTCTTTTTCTTTTTGTTTGTTTGTTTTGTTTTGTTTTCCTGTACTCCGTTATTTATTGGCAGCTTGCTTGGTCTAAATGATTCAGAGTCCCTCTTGGGGTACGATATCCCAGTTCGACTTTTCCAGGACCACATTATACAGATGAGAAGATTACTGAAGAGACTGTTATTTGTCATTCAAAGCCCGCATCACTTAGTTCCACAGAAAGCTCAGATGGTGGTAAGACATAAGTTGTTGGAAAGATACTTTAGATGAAATTGCATTGTCCACTATTTTGGTTTTGGATGATGAATTATCTGTTATTGCTCGAGAAATGAAAATCTTGCAAGCAACGTAAAAACTGTAATCTCAGTAGAAGAATGCGAACAAATTTCGAGAAGAAAGTACTTTATTAAGATGCTTAGTGTTTTCACAATGGTCTATGAATTAAACCATCTTTCTTTCCCATTTCTGAGTTGGGCTTTTCCTCGATAACAAATTTGTCATTGGCATAGCATGTCCATCTAATTTGCTCAGCTAGAGGTTGTCACAGCTAAAAACATAATTGTACCAGTTCGACCATCTTTAACAAATGGTGTCCTCTTGAACTTCTACTGACAATTTTTTTTTTTTCACCAGGTTCTTCAAGAAGAATCGAGAATTTTCTTGATTTTGACCAAATAAATTGCGAGAGGTTGTATTCAGCCACTTATCATACCCCAAATCACCAGGAAAGAAAAGAGAGAGCTTTTGAACCATCCACGCCAAATGATGAATCCTTGAGCATTCTCTGCCCTCCCTCTGCTCATCGAAAAAACATTGACTCTCAAGTTGACAATTGTATCACTAATGGTTTACCTTTGTTAGGCAGTAAGTTGCCTCCTCTGGGAAGAGGTTCTGGGGAAGGAGCTGCCTCTTTAAGCACCGGTAGTACTGACGCCCCACTTTTGGTTTCTGACCAACATGCATCAAGTATGAACACTAATTCCGAGGGGTCTTCTGTTTTGCACCATCCAGTAGATCTTGGACAGTTATTTCGAGAGGGACATTGTACGACAACGGATAACAATGGATGCCATGGGTTAACTGAAATTGTAACTGGTGAAGTTGACAACAGCAGAAGCCATTGTCAAAAAGAAAAACCTGAGGATGGGGAAAGTGATGAAATGCTTGGAGGCATATTTTCCTTCTCTGAAGAAGGTATAACATTCTGAAACTAAAGCTGCAACAAGTCCTGAGTTTATTACATCTCTGATTGTTTCATACATTTTTCTTCATATATGTATTATAATTCAACTCTCTCTCTCTCTGTTCCTCCAACATTGTGGCAGGTTGATCTATTGAATTAAAGTTGCTTGATTCATGCCATGTAACATCTTTTGACGTTGGAAGTGCAATGCACATTGTAAATAAAAGTTTATGTGGGTGCAACTGTTCAAGCTTGTTGATGTGGTAAGGCATATCTATTTCTCTTGTAAATTTTTGTATGGAAATCTGTAAATTCCTAGAGGATGCTAAACTTGGGGGCAGATTGTGGTGACAACGAGTGTGTATGCCCTCGGTGGAAGCCGATTTGGTTTTGCATTCCCTGTCCTGAAACTTTTTAATTTTTTCAAGCTTTGTCTGTACAGATGATCGAATGTGAAAACAAGTTCTCTCCAAGTTGTATAACAATATTTGTCGTTCTTGAAATTAAGAAATGAAAAGGAATGACAAGGGAAACAGATGAATATGAGATTGTGTTACATGTGCGTCTTAACGTTTTACATAATTAGATAGGAAAATGATTTTTTTTCACTCTTTTTGAGAGAAAGAGATCTGTTATTATTAATTCAGAATATCTAGTAAATTTGACACAGTAGGTAGAGGAGATTCCTCCTACCAAATAGTTAACTGTCTAAAGAAAGAGCATGAGAAATCAAACCAGGAGTAGCTTTATTAGCTTCTCTATAGGTAGGATTTGTACTTTGTGTCACGGTCCGGGACTTTTGTCGTGGAATACAACCGAATGGCATCGAGACTCCATTGATTGGAGCCGGTGAGCCTCCTTCACAATCAAGCCTTTCTACAGGCTCTTGAGTCCTAATTCATATCAATGGGAACTACTTCTGTCCAGGTTGAATCATTCTTCCTAATTCATATCAATGAGAATTACTCATGTCTGAGTCTTGTTCACAAGCGTCTACAACTGCTTCCACATGTAGAGGCTCTGTATCCCAATAGCAATGTCAGATATGCTTTCCCAAGTGCCTACGCTCCTCACCTTTGGCAATCCATTTAGTCTCCGTTGACATCGTATCTCTTGTGCGCTGCAGCACTAAGGGTCCACTGTAAACGCATAGGCCAATCCTTGAGCTAATGCGACTTAAGCTTGTAAGCAAGTCGCCTGAGTGACTCTTTCCGACTCGTAACCCTCACATGGCTGCCCAATTGTAGTATTGTCCCTTTTGTACCGCACTGACTATCAAATCCATGAGTGTGGCCAAACCTGAAGTCGACTCATGTTGGGCAGCATACGTCTTGGTTGCTCTGCTCTATGAGGCCCCAGTTAGGTTCGACATATGCCCTATATTAGAGCTTCCGCACGCGAACAACAACCACATGCCACAATCTCATGGACAAACGGCCAACGCAATATTAGCCCTTGTCAATATTGTCCGTGAAACATTCTTGATTTGTGGAGACACAAGACACCATTGTGCTTGTCATGTGTCTACCTTCCTCCGGCCTTCGGCCTGTTGGTGGTTCACTTAGCATATCGTTTTGTTTGGGGTGGTGGAGAGCTGATGCCAAAGTTCTCCTTGAAGGAGACTGAAGCCTCGTTTTTTTACCAATTCGAATCCCAACTCTAGTTTTTGTTACAATGTTTTCTCTCATAAAAAGTCACATCTAGACATCAAGTTATCTAACTAAAAGGGACAATGCCTTGAGTAATGGAGAATCACTCCTCAAATCAGCGGGTTGTCAAACAGCTCTTTAAAAAGGAAGACTTAAATACGTACATCATATAGAATGAAAACCAAACTTATTACAATAAGAAGCAGATTTTTGTTTTTGTTGTTGTTGTTTTTTATTTTTTTTTTTTTTTTTTTTTTTTTTTTTTTTTTTTTTTTTTTTTTAAATCTGTACAAAATCAATGCATGTGACTCTACATAGTAGATTTGTAACCCCGCGTTTATAAGCGCGGATTCAAAGGAACTTGTGTATAAATGGAAAGGCATATGTATCCATGGGTCCGTTCACTTCTCTGATTCGAGTTTAGAATTCGAGTTTTTCTACAGTAAAAAGCTCTTACAAACAATCACATCTAACTTTTTTACTACAGTAAAAAATTCTCATATAAAATCACATCTCAACTCGAATCAACGAAGTGAACGGGGCCATAGACTTTATTGGAACAAAAAGGGAAAAAATTTATACCAATTGGCAATTACCAACCCCTTCATCTCCCAAGTCCAAATGGGTTGGACTTGCAGAAATAATCTCATTTGCTTGAGCAAATAGCATTTGAGAAATAACATAATTGGTAAAGTGATTAGTAAATTATAACATATTTTTTAAAAATAGTAAATTATAATATAATTTGATATTTTAATTTTTAAATATTATTAAAAACTCAAAAATACCTTTAAATCTCATTTTTCACCTCACTCCTCCCTCTAAACGTCTATTTTTTAAAAATATTAAATTATAGTATATTTTTTAAAATATGTAGATTATAGTCAAGTTCACTATGGCCGGGACCGGCGGCCGGCTCTGATGACCGGTGATCGGAGACCATTTTTTGGCAACCTATGACCGTTTTCTGGTGACCATTTTTTGGTGATTGTTTTCCGACAACCGTTTAACACTATTTATTGATAAATACCGTATTTATTATTTAATACTGTATTTACTAATAAATATCTTATTTACCCAAAAAGCCGACCATCGACTTCGGTGATTGTTTAACGTTGTATTTATAGGTAAATGTCGTATTTACCAATAAATACAATATTTACTAGTAAATATTATATTTACTCAAAAATTCAGCCACCGAATTCGGTGACCGTTTAATATTATATTTACCAGTAAATATCATATTTATCTGAAAATTCAGACGCCGATTCCTGTGACCGTTTAACACTATATTTACTAGTAAATGCTGTATTTACTAGTAAATACAATATTTATGAGTAAATATCATATTTATCTAAAAATTTGACCACTACCTACTCCGGCGACTGTTTAACACTATATTTACTGGTAAATACCGAATTTACTAGTAAATATCATATTTATCCAAAAATCCCGTCACCGACTCTGACGACCATTAAACACTGTATTTACCGGTACATATAGTAGATTCCAAATTATAACTATTAAAGTATTTACATATAAATAAAATATTTACCATATTCAAAATTGTAGTTATTAAAGTATTTAAAGGTATTACAATATTTACCAAATGCAAATTGTAACTACTAAAATATTTACTGCTAAATACAATATTTATCATATTTAAAATTAAAATTACTCAAGTATTTACTAAATTTAAACTTATAACTACTACAATATCTTTAAATATATACAGTATTTATCATATTGTTAAATTATTTATCAGTAAAATACAGTATTTATAAAATTCCAAACACCAACACAGACAAATCCAACGAAATTATTCTCATATCACAATCACAAACTCATATCACTAACCCTAACCCTAATCCTAGTTCTAATGCCCAACTAACCCCAAATCAAAAGAACTAGAGTCGTCGTCCACCCCTTCCTGGCGGCACCACACCTGCATTAAACACAAACAAAAACACACACACACACACACACACACACACAGAGAAAGAGAGAGAAACTGCCTTTGTCGAAATATTGCCCGCGCTCGTCGAAGACTCGCGATCTCTAACAACGATCTTGAACGGAGGTCGGCCGAACTGATTCGCGACGGCCCCTGTCGGAATATGGTTCGCGCTTTCGTCAATTCGGTTCGGTGGCGTCGCAACAATCGCCCCGAAACCGGCGAGATTTAGTTCCGATCTCTGACGACTTCCAAGATATGATTCGCAAAAACGGTGAGATTTGGGCGAATCTGGTCGCGATAGCGAGATTTGGAGGCTTCACGGAGAGAACTCGAAACAAAAGCGAAGTCTAGAGGCTTCACGAAGAAAACAACCGCCGCCGTCCTTTCGTCATCATTGCCACTGATTGCTCCTATTCTCCGACGACGGGAAAACCAAGCTCAGAGTGCAGAGATGTGATACGAGAGAAAGCAGATTGGAACGATGGGGGGAGAGAGAAAAAGATCTCTGTGAAAAAGAAAAATGAAAACCCTAAAATAAGGATAAAAATGGAAAAAAGTAATTTATTTTAAAAAGAAATATAAATTTACTAATTTTAAAAAATATGCTACAAAATTCGTTTGCACTTCCAAAATATACTAATTGGTGCATTTTTCCTATTTTTTATTAGCAAAAAAGTAACGTTTATTTTAAAATTAGTACGCACACGGAAAAAGAAAGGAACAAAAATTGCTGCCAATGCTGACATTTAAACCTTTACTTGATTTATCTTCTTCTACGAACCTAGCCAATATATGATACACATAAAAAAGAGAAGCAGAAAATCTTCGTTTGATAATTGCACTAAGTTCTGCCATGAATTTAGTCTCTGTTGACATCGAATCTCTTGTGCGCTGCAGCACTAAGGGTCCACTGTAAACGCATAGGCCAATCCTTGATGCGACTTAAGCTTGTAAGCAAGTTGCCTGAGTGACTCTTTCCGACTCGTAACCCTCACATGGCTGCCCAATTGTAGTAATGTCCCTTTTGTACCGCACTGACTATAAAATCCATGAGTGTGGCCAAACCTTAAGCCGACTCATGTTGGGCAGCATACGTCTTGGTTGCTCTGCTCTGTGAGGCCCCAGTTAGGTTCGACATATGCCCTATATTAGAGCTTCCGCACGCGAACAACAACCACATGCCACAATCTCATGGGCAAACGGCCAACGCAATATTAGCCCTTTTCAATATTGTCCATGAAACATTCTTGATTTGTGGAGACACAAGACACCATTGTGCTTGTCATGTGTCTACCTTCCTCCGGCCTTCGGCCTGTTGGTGGTTCACTTAGCATATCGTTTTGTTTGCGGTGGTGGAGAGCTGATGCTAAAGTTCTCCTTGAAGGAGACTGAAGCCTCGTTTTTTTACCAATTCGAATCCCAACTCTAATTTTTGTTACAATGTTTTCTCTCATAAAAAAGTCGCATCTAGACATCAAGTTATCTAACTAAAAGGGACAATGCCTTGAGTAATGGAGAATCACTCCTCAAATCAGCGGGTTGTCAAACAGCTCTTGAAAAAAGAAGACTTAAATACGTACATCATATAGAATGAAAACCAAACTTATTACAATAAGAAGCAGATTTTTGTTTTTGTTGTTGTTGTTGTTGTTTTTTTTTTTTTTTTTTTAAATCTGTACAAAATCAATGCATGTGACTCTACATAGTAGATTTGTAACCCCGCGTTTATAAGCGCGGATTCAAAGGAACTTGTGTATAAATGGAAAGGCATATGTGTCCATATATAGACTTTATTGGAACAAAAAGGGAAAAAATTTATACCAATTGGCAATTACCAACCCCTTCATCTCCCAAGTCCAAATGGGTTGGACTTGCAGAAATAATCTCATTTGCTTGAGCAAATAGCATTTGAGAAATAATTGGTAAAGTGAATAGTAAATTATAACATATTTTTTAAAAATAATAAATTATAATATAATTTGATATTTTAATTTTTAAATATTATTAAAAATTAAAAAATACCTTTAAATCTCATTTTTCACTTCACTCTTCCCTCTAAACGTCTATTTTTTTAAAAATATTAAATTATAGTATATTTTTTAAAATATGTAGATTATAGTCAAGTTCACTATGGCCGGGACCGGCGGCCGGCTCTGACGACCGGTGATCAGAGATCATTTTTTGGCAACCTATGACCGTTTTCTGGTGACTATTTTTTGGTGATTGTTTTCCGACAACCGTTTAACACTATTTATTAATAAATACCGTATTTACTATTTAATACTGTATTTACTAATAAATATCTTATTTACCCAAAAAGTCGACCATCGACTTCGGTGATTATTTAACGTTGTATTTATAGGTAAATGTCGTATTTACCAATAAATACAATATTTACTAGTAAATATCATATTTACTCAAAAATTCAGCCACCGAATTCGGTGACCGTTTAATATTATATTTACCAGTAAATATCATATTTATATGAAAATTCAGACGCCGATTCCTGTGACCGTTTAACACTATATTTACTAGTAAATACCGAATTTACTAATAAATATCATATTTATCCAAAAATCCCGTCACCAACTCTGACGACCATTAAACACTGTATTTACCGGTACATATAGTAGATTCCAAATTATAACTATTAAAGTATTTACATATAAATAAAATATTTACCATATTCAAAATTATAGTTACTAAAGTATTTAAAGGTATTACAATATTTACCAAATACAAACTTGTAACTACTAAAATATTTACCGCTAAATACAATATTTATCATATTTAAAATTGAAATTACTCAAGTATTTACTAAATTTAAACTTATAACTACTACAATATTTTTAAGTATATACAATATTTATCATATTCTGTTAAATTATTTACCAGTAAATACACAGTATTTCCAAAATTCCAAACACCACCACAGACAAATCCAACAAAATTATTCTCATATCACAATCACAAACTCATATCACTAACCCTAATCCTAGTTCTAATGCCCAACTAACCCCAAATCAAAAGAACTAGAGTCGTCGTCCACCCCTTCCTGGCGGCACCACACCTGCATTAAACACAAACAAAAACACACACACACACACACACACACACACAGAGAAAGAGAGAGAAACTGCCTTTGTCGAAATATTGCCCGCGCTCGTCGAAGACTCGCGATCTCTAACAACGATCTTGAACGGAGGTCGGCCGAACTGATTCGCGACGGCCCCTGTCGGAATATGGTTCGCGCTTTCGTCAATTCGGTTCGGTGGCGTCGCAACAATCGCCCCGAAACCGGCGAGATTTAGTTCCGATCTCTGACGACTTCCAAGATATGATTCGCAAAAACGGTGAGATTTGGGCGAATCTGGTCGCGATAGCGAGATTTGGAGGCTTCACGGAGAGAACTCGAAACAAAAGCGAAGTCTAGAGGCTTCACGAAGAAAACAACCGCCGCCGTCCTTTCGTCATCATTGCCACTGATTGCTCCTATTCTCCGACGACGGGAAAACCAAGCTCAGAGTGCAGAGATGTGATACGAGAGAAAGCAGATTGGAACGATGGGGGGAGAGAGAAAAAGATCTCTGTGAAAAAGAAAAATGAAAACCCCAAAAGATAAAAATGGAAAAAAGTAATTTATTTTAAAAAGAAATATAAATTTACTAATTTTAAAAAATATGCTATAAAATTCGTTTGCACTTCCAAAATATACTAATGGGTGCATTTTTCCTATTTTTTATTAGCAAAAAAGTAATGTTTATTTTAAAATTAGTACGCACACGGAAAAAGAAAGGAACAAAAATTGCTGCCAATGCTAACATTTAAACCTTTACTTGATTTATCTTCTTCTACGAACCTAGCCAATATATGATACACATAAAAAAGAGAAGCAGAAAATCTTCGTTTGATAATTGCACTAAGTTCTGCCATGAATCATGATTACAAGTTTTCTCTCTATTGGCTCAATGTAAATGAAAAAAATTGCACTTATCTGGTTTTGTATAATTTATCTTATAATTCCGTCATCTTTAAAGTTATAATAGATAATAAGGAAAAATAAAAACATAAATTTTATAATATCTATAAATACCATATATTTCTCTAGATTTTTCAACGAAAATTGTTTTTTTAATGTAAATATTTTTTTAAGTGTTCTCATCTCCTATTCTAAAAAGTTGAAGAAAATAATGAAGATATTATGGATGTGTTTGGAATTAGTTTTAAAATGATTTTATTTTTAATAAAAAGTAAAAATAAGATTGTTTTGAGAATTATTCTGAGACCGAAAATTACGTTTAGTTAATTTTTTAAGAGATTGTTTTAAATATAATAAAAGAGTGAAATCGTATTTATTAATTAATATATTATAATATTATTAATAAGTACTAACAAATAAAAATTAAAAATAACTTTTAATTATTTTTTAAATTCTTTCAAAAAATTATTTTTATTATTTTTAAAATATTTATTAAATAAAACCTCATTTTATTTTTATTATTATTTTTTATTTATCAAAACACGTAAAAATCATTTTTAAAAATAATTCTAAACACGCACTAAATTTGCTGAGGAGTTTTGAAGGACAATAAAAATTAAAAGGTGTTGCTAAGGACACGGTTTCATGTGTGTGTCTCTGTTTTATAGGACGTACAAATACGACTTTAATATGGTCGGTCAATATCATTATCATTAGAGATAATGGCCTGCTTTTTGGTGAATAAAAGATAAATAGATAATGCAAATGCTAGAGATTATACTCCGCTGCATAGTTTTTTTTTCCTAGTAAAAAATGGTTATTATTCCAAAAAATGGCTTTTAGGGAAAAAAAAAAAAAACCTCTTTTTTAAATAAAACCTTCTATTAGAAAATAATCCTTCATTTTATATGTCAGATTGTCAGTGATATGTCCTGATATTTTCCAATTTTTTTTTCCTTAAGAAAATATTTGACCGCTGTGTTAGTGGATGACAAGAAGGGATAAGTGCCCGTACAATAGAAAAATTGGAAGGTCAGAGAGAGAGAGAGACATTCTATAAAATGAGAGCACAAAACCATTATTAAATATTAAAAAAAGGCGTTAAAAAAAAGAATAATTAAAGGGAAAAAGGTTAGACCATTATTTGGTAATAATTCTGCACCATAATCAGTAATGGCCTTCAATTGTCAGTCCAACAAGACCAAAAATCCTTAAAAACCCTTTTCTCAGATATTCCTCCATTTCTGCTTGAATCATTTTCTTATTCAAGTCTCTACCTTGTTTGTCCATTTTAGATCTTCCAAAAACTTTCTTTCAAAAACACCCTTTTCCTCCATTTGGATGGTTGTTAAAATCCTTATTTGAAAGAAACAAGAACCAGAGAAGACAGACCATGGACGGCGCTATTTCTCAGTGGCGAAAACAATGGTTTGATTACTTCCAATATCTTCGTCAAGAGGTTCACCACTTTTTCTTTTCTTTTTACCATTCAAAAATTGTGAATTTTCTTGACCGTAGTAATAATTATATTATGCTGATCTTTTCTTTTGGGCTCTTTCTTAATTTTCTTATGTCTGTGTTATTGACCAAACTGATTTTACTATAATTATTGTGTAATTTTATAAACCATGTTCTTTAATAATTTATTTTTTCTTTTTTTTTTTGGGTTGTGAGAAGGGATTCTTGGACGACCAGTTTGTGCAGCTGAAGAAACTGCAAGACGAGAACAGCCCGGATTTTGTGGTCGAGGTTGTCTCTCTCTTCTTTCAAGACTCTGAGAAGCTTCTCAACAACATGGCCAACGCTTTGTGAGTTTTTTTTTTCTTTTTTCTTTTTTCTTTTTTCTTTTTTCTTTTTCCTCCTTTTTGTCTGTACCATAATATTATTATTTGTTTTATTATTGGTCGTGGGCCTATGTTGTAGAACTGTTGTGTGTGTCCAATGGGCCGTTATAGTCTTCACTTTTGCAGTGAACAAAAGGTTGTGGACTTCAAGCAAGTAGATGCCTATGTTCATCAGTTCAAGGGTAGTAGTGCCAGGTATATATTATTTATGCTTTTAATTCTTCATTTGATTTTTTTTTTATTTTTTATTTTTTGTTTCTTTATAAATTCGGTGGTCGTGGGTTTGATTCCCACAGATGGCGAATGAATTTTGTTAGTCGACCCTAATTAAGTTGGGATTAAGACTTGTTGTTATTGTTTCTTTATAAATTCAATGTGTGAGTTTAAGTGGTATTGGTACATAATATGCTAGTGTGTTTGTAAGGAAATCGGCTAAAGAAAAAGTTGCTTATGAATTGAAAGTGATCATTAACATTTTGGGAAATAGAAAATCTATATAACACCCTTTTATTTTTATCAAGTGGTTAAAAATTTTTCTTCTAATATAGTATTTTTTGTTTCTTTGTTAACAAACAGCATTGGTGCAATGAGGATAAAGAATGTGTGCATTAACTTCAGAAATTACTGCGAGGCTCAGAACCTGGAAGGGTGAGTTGTGTTTTTAACTCATTATTTTCCGCAGATGTTTTTGTAAATTTAAATCTTGAAAAAAAAAAACCTTAATTGTTGTTCTTGAATTGGAACAATTAACTCATAATTTATGAATATTACTTGTTAACTTATTAGCCACAAAAGAATAAATATAAAACGTCCTAGATAGTAAACTTTTCAAGGTTTAGGAATATATTGAGGCCTTTGTAACAGTGTTAGACTTGTTGAATGTTGGGGGCAAAAAGAAGATAAAAGCTAAAAGATATGTTAGATTTCAGTATAGAAAGAGGCATTGTTTTCAATTTACTCCAAATTCAACTTTTGAAAGTTCTCTAATTGGGAAAATCTTTTATGTGGCTCAGCTAATACTCATATATGTTACACTTTAATAAAAGAGAAACTTTTGCTTCTTTTGAAGCAATGTTTCATAATTGGATACTATTATGGATATGATTTGTAATCTTTTTCCCAACTTTGTAAGCTAAGATATCAGTGACCAGTATGATTTTTCTTTGAATCAAAACAAAATAAATAAATAAATAAATAAAAATAAAAACTGATCCTGGTTAATTCATGATTAAACTATGAAAACCTATAGTCCATTGGAGGCTGATTAATTATTCAATTTTATCCTCTTATCAGTTTGTGTGCCATGATTGTTTGTCACATTAATTCTGGATAATGTAATTGTTTGCAGGTGTTTGATATGTCTGCAACAATTGCAACAAGAATGCTCTGTGTTGAAGAACAAGCTTGAAAAACTGTTAAATGTAAAGTGCATCATATCCTTATTTTTAACCACTATTTATATTAGATTCCATTTTATATCTCTTTATTTCTGAGTTATATTCTTGCTGTAATGTTTCTTCTCTCAGCTGGAGCAACAGATTTTGGCAGCTGGTGGATCAATCCCAGTGATAGAATAAACAAATACTATTGGTGTTACTTGCTTATAGTACACATAATCTAGCACCAGTTATATAGTTTTTGAGATGTATTTGCTTGTTCTTAAAAAACCTTATATAGAAGCACTAGCAAGATTTTAGTGTAGGCCTTGTTTGAGAGAGTAGTTGTAGCATGAATTGCCTCCTTTTGCTAGACCTTGTTTTGTGGCAGTTTGATGATAGTCTAAAAGTGTGATCAGATAGAACAATGGAATTCATATAGCTTGTGCTTGGTTTTCCTCTATTGTTAGACATCAAGTTGTGTAATAACTTCTTGCCTCAAAAGATATGTTCTTAGAGTTTAACAGAAACGTATGGTCAAACACAAGGTATTTTGTTAATTTCTTTTCGAGACGATTAAAGAATCATCAGCCCTCCTTAAGGCCTTAACTCATTTTTTAAGTTTCCTTCTCTTATTTTAGAATTCTGCCCTTCTTATGTCGATATATAACGGGAGAAAAAGAAAGTGACGGCAGAAATCTAAGGTTCCGTTCACTTCGCTGATTCGAGTTTAGAATTCGAGTTTTTCTACAGTAAAAAGCTCTCACAAACAATCACATCTAACTTTTTTGCTACAGTAAAAAGCTCTCACATAAAATCACATCTCAACTCGAATTCTAAACTCGAATCAGCGAAGTGAACGAGGCTTAGTGATTACGAAAGGATATTTGCTAATTTCTGTTTTGTGGCCCTTTTTTTTTTTGTTTTTGTTTTTGGTAGTCTTAACCTCTTAGGTGCATTATCATCTATTAGAGTTTTAGTATTATTTGCTATTTAATTTGTCATTTAAATCTTAAATTTCCCATTTTTATTCTTCTTCATACATTTCCTTGCAAGATTACATGCACAGACCCAGTGAACCAATGGCTGGGACCATTCATAATGGAGCCCGGTAATAAACCCATATTCATTGACGTTTGTTTCATGGGTTCAGAATCATAGTTCATGATTCTGATTTTTAAAATTTAAATTTTTTGTGATACAAAAACACTGTAACAAATTAAAAATTATGATTCAGAACCATGCCAGAATCTTCAAAACAAATGGAGTTCCAAACTCTACCCTTAGAAGTCCATGGTGATTTTTATTAGTAAAATTATAATCAAATCACCGAACCTTTTGCTTGAAGAAAACTTCAGCCTGTGGGAAACACCAAATCACATCAACACAGAGAAGCCTCTTAGACAGCTAATTCCTCATATAATTCAGTTGCAGGAGAGGTAGAATTTATGCCTGGTCGTGATCTATTATTGACTGTCCATTTCTTACCTTTACGAAAAAGTCAAGTTCATTTTTGTCCCCAATTTTTTTTTTTAAAAAAAAAATTATTATTCTTTATGATTCTGATGTTTAGATATTTCGTGAGCTAACTTAACTCATGTGAAATTCATAAATTATAGGGTTACATTGAGTGATTAGATAGAAAAACTTTTGACTCTTTACCATTTTTCACATGCACAAAAGTAGAAAGCTACTATAAGGGACCAGAAAAGCAGGAGGTTGATTTGTTACAAAAGGTTTTTGTGTAGCTGGATGAAAAGGACATCTCGCTCAGAGTTACATAAATGTGCATATGCTGGTAATAGATGAAGAAGAAGAAGAAGATTTGCAGTCCAAGGACAAGTAAATCCATAATAGAAAAAAGAGGAACCATGAATGAAGTGGGTATTTTTTGGTTGTTGGAGTTGGTGCATTCTGCACCCTTTTCAATGAGAAATTAACAGATTTTGGTGGCCCATCTTGAGATGTGGTTGCTCTAGATTGCTTCCGACTATTACCAGCCAAAAACTCCATTATTAAAAGGAGAAAAGAATGAAATAAATCAGATATAAATTAAAATTAATAGGTAAATAGTTTACATAAATTAATAAATATATCAAATTACTATTTTTGTCCATAACTTGTCTGGTTATGAACCATAACTTGACAAGTTATTGTCCATAATTCACGATTTGTGTCCATAACTTGTCTAGCTATGAACCATAACTTGACAAATTTGTCCATAACTTATCTAGTTATGAATCATAACTTGACAAGTTATGGCATATTAATTTCTGTAACTAAAAATTGACCTATATACTTTCTTAACCTTTTCATATTGGTCTATTTTCTACTATTTATGTATTAAAAATTGATCATAATGCACAAATGCATCGCGGATTAAAAATCCGTTACGCTGTCACATTAATAATGTTGGTCATTTGATCCTATTTTAATCTTTTTATGGCATGTTTATTTATCTGTAATTAGAGTGAATATGAATCGGAGTGAACAGGATTTAGAGTTGACAGGAATCAGAGTTAGGAATCGGAGTCAAAATAAATTGTTTATTTAGGTTCCAAGAATCGGAGTCAGAATTAGTCATAATCTCATTCATGCGTTTACTTACACCCAGAATCGGAATAAACTGTTATAAATTTACCTATCTATCCTTTTAATAGATTTTTGTGTGTTGAACTTAAAAACAAAAACAAAAAAAGAAATTGTATATTATGCTAACTATCTTAATATTAGGATAATTAATTAGTAATTAGAATTTTTTTAATCACACCTAATTAATCATTTAAATTATTTTTTCTCAATAAATTTTGAAATAATTTAAAGAAAAAAATATAATGATGAAATAAAATAAGAACACTTAAACCCCACGATTAAGAATTTTAAGGATGTATCCCTTCTTGAGTTGATCTGAAATGTTGTAAAATATACGTAGCAAATCATGCCTCATTACCAAAATACTAGTGGTATCATATACTTGATCATCATCTAAGCCATCAATTTTCATCATTTCTTAATACAAGTTGACTTGTAATTCAGCTAGATTTTTATCAGTCGTGAAAAGCACATCAATAAGACCATCTAATTTGTTAGTATAATTAAGAGTAAAATTATAATTCACATTTACAGATTGAAAGTTATTACGTTTCCAAGTGATGACATTAGATTCACTTGATCGTATTATCGTATTTTAATTTTTTTTTTTTTTTTGAAAAAAAGGACAAAGCTATCGTGTTTGTGAAAATCATTGGGTGTTTTCATACGATAATATCAAGCTCACTTGTGTACGTGATACCACATATTTGATGCTAAATAAGATGATGAGTGAAGAGAAATATATATATTTTTTAAAAATTTTGCCAACACTCAATCAACTACTAATAGATAAAACTGAACTCACCACGATATTCCCCTGCTTGAGCTCCTTTCGAACCAAACAGAGAAATTAATTCCTAGAATTTGGCATTTAGAGAATTGCTCCACAAATTCGAGCGGTTTGAATCCTTTTGTATGTTTCTTACTATTTTGATAAGGTTTCCTTTTGCTCCTTCCACGAAATAAGTATTTTTGCGTTCTTTGGATCTTCTGTATATTTAGTTCTCAGTTCTCATCATGAATTTCCTTTTTTTAAACTTGTGTGCTTATTTTCACCAACACTTCCTTATTTACAAATGATTAGGGGGAAAACAATTACTGATGCAAGAAAAGATAAGGTTGTCGTTTGCAACTTTGGTCAGCTTCTAAAGGTTGTCGTTTGAACCAAGAAACGACAATTTGTTAACACATTAACTAAAGGTGCACATGACATATCCACTTGATAAACCAGACTTACTCGATTTGGACTAAGATAGATCTCTTTTGACTCCCATAGACACGGAAATTGAGTTTGTACTTTTCTGTTTTTTTTTTTTTTTTTACTACTCTGAAGGCAAAAAAATCTTGAATCAAAACCCAAAGTAGGGTTATAGTGGTACAGACAACTAGAGAGGATCATTAGAAGATTGTGAAACAAGTTAACTTTTTTACCAAGTTTCTTTTGACTCCAAAGCCTGGGTTTGTTATGGAGTAATGTGTAGTATCTTCTTCCTTTGGCTTCAAGGAAAAAGGCCTGGAGAATTGCAAGAATATTATATATATATATATATATATATATATTTGCCAGAATGAAAACGACTACGCCTGTCGTTTACCTTTCCTTTGTCTGTCCAAGCCAAACTAAACGAAAAGAAAAAAATTACCCAAAAATTGTTTGGCTGCAATTAGCTTGGCTTCCTATTTCCTAAGATTTATTATTATTGTTTCTTTTTAACTCTACTATTCCATCATGTTCCAATAGATGACTTTTTTTCACTAAACCCAAAAAAACGATCAGTGTACAGGGGGCTGCAGAATCTGCATATCATTGGTTTATTTTTTAAACAAACGTTAGAATTTTTTTTTTTTATTTTTATTTTTTTGGTTTCATAATTAACAAACTTTTATTTTTGAAACAGATTGTTACTATACATGTAAGTTGTATATTTGTTACGCATACCATAAGAGGTCCTAACATAAACTCGGAGACTTTGTCAGAGTAGAAAATAATAACCTCACAAATCAATGTTTAGCTCTGAAATGCCCTCTTAGTTGAGTCAGATGAGAGATTAATACCTATTATTATAACATTGTGTTATCAGATTTATGCTAGTAGATGTTATCAAATACATGACTGCTAAGGTCATTTTTCTCTTTTGTGATTAAGAACTTCCAATTTTTACACCAAGACCAAACTACGGGAAATTCCCTTTTGTTCGTCTTTTTGAAGGCACACCCAAAAAAAAAAAAAAAAAAAAAAAAAAAAAAGTGTGTCCGAGTCTTGCCCACAATGAACAAACAAGTTCGTGTTTTTTTTTTTTTAAAAAAAAGTGGGGTTTTTCACAGGACAAATGGACGACCCACACCAAGCTGTCACCCACGAGCCCTCGTACAACTCTGTCCTTCTCCTTTTCTTTACCCTAATACTCCCTTCGTTTTCACCATCCACATGCTTACGCGTCGCCCTCACACGCCGGTGACATTACATACCCGTTTCACCACCTGTCACTCTAGTGCCAAAACAGCCCCTTTCGCTTCGTTGTAATGTAATCCCTTGGTCACGTGATCTCCGTCCCGAACCACCTCAACCACACGTGCTGAGCTGTTCTCCGAACCTGACACCACGCCTCCCACGTAGGCTCGGACAACCGTTTGCCCCGACTCCCAAACCCCAATAAAGAAAAAACAGACAACTATAAAAAAAACAAATAAATTCCCCTAAAAAATAATTAAAAAAAAAATAAAAACATATCAGTCTCTCCTTCCATTGCTCTAGAACAAAGAACAAGCGTCTTCTCTGAGAAGCCAAAATAATGAAAAAGCAGTGTCATTGAAAGAGAGAGAGAAAAGAGTATCAGAATTTGATCAACAGCGAGAAGATTCACAGAAATTTTGCTTCTTCTCCAAGCCAAAAATCCCATTCTTCTTCCACTCATTATTTCTCACTCTAAATTCTCTCTCTATAAATCATCACAGAGAGAGATTTTGATGCTCTGATAGTTCCGCCATTAAAGCTTTCACGCTGTATCCCACGACACGAGATATAAGCAGGTTCTTCTCACGGAAAAGCTAAACTTTCTTCAACCCTTTTTCTCTGCTATAAAACCCCACTCGATCACCTTCTTTTCACAAGCTCACACAACAATGGCGGCAAAGCAGAGGACTTTGGGTTTGGGTTTCGGATTCTTGATCCTCTCTCTCTGTTTTCTCAACTGTAATGTGATGATCGCCTTCGCCATTCTCGACCCGCTCGATTTTCTCGCTCTCCAGTCGATTCGAAAAGCCCTCCACGACCTCCCGGGCTCCAACTTCTTCGCCTCCTGGGACTTCACCGCCGACCCCTGCAACTTCGCCGGAGTCTATTGCGACGCCGACAAGGTCATCTCCCTCAACCTCGGCGATCCCCGCGCTGGCTCCCCGGGCCTCACCGGCCGGATCGACCCGGCGATCGGTAAGCTTTCCGCGCTCGCCGAGTTCTCGATCGTTTCTGGCCGGGTCTACGGGAAACTTCCCCAGTCAATGTCGCAATTGAAAAACCTCCGCTTCCTCGCCGTCAGCCGGAACTTCATCTCCGGCGAAATCCCGGCGACGCTCGGCCACCTCCGCGGCCTCAGAACCCTCGACCTCAGCTACAACCAGCTCAGCGGAGGAATCCCCCGCGCGATCGGAACCCTACCGGAGCTCACGAACCTCATTCTCTGCCACAACCACCTCTCCGGTTCGGTCCCTCCGTTTCTCTCCCAATCGCTAACCCGCCTCGACTTAAAGCACAACGGTCTCTCCGGTTCGTTCGCTCCCGGTTCGCTCCCTCCCTCTCTCCAATACCTCTCTATCTCATGGAACAAGTTCACCGGTCCAATGGACCGGCTTCTGAACCGGCTCGACCGGCTAAACTACCTTGACCTGAGCCTAAACCAGTTCACCGGTCAAATCCCGGGTCGGGTATTCACCTACCCAATAACCAACCTCCAATTGCAGAGGAACCAATTCTCCGGTCCGCTCCAGCCGGTTGATCAAGTCACGATCCCGACCGTTGATCTGAGCTACAACAGGTTGTCAGGTGAAATATCACCTCTGTTCTCGACCGTAGAGAATCTCTACCTCAACAACAACCGGTTCATGGGTCAAGTACCGGCTACTTTCGTGGACCGGTTATTGGCCGCCAGTATACAGATACTCTACTTACAGCATAATTATCTGACCGGTATTCAGATTAGTCCGACGGCTGAGATTCCTTTGAGCAGTTCGCTGTGTCTACAATATAATTGCATGGTACCGCCCGTACAGACGCCTTGCCCCTTGAGAGCTGGGAAGCAGATAACCAGGCCAACATCACAGTGCATTGAGTGGAAGGGGTAAATCTGGAAGTTCATATTATATCCGAGGGTAAAATTGGAAATGAAAAGTGGGATGGGTTCGGGATTATGATAATCCTTGGGGGGTTCTTTTTGATTCATTAATTTAATTTAATTTATTTTTTTTGTTTTTGTGTGCGTGAAATTTGTGGGTAAATGATGAAGAATAAGATCATCCTGTGAAGTGTGGATGTGAGAGAGGAATAGTTAAATGCTATCAATCCACGGGAGGCTGAAGATTTATGTTACTATTTAATACGACAATCTTTCTGGGGACAAAGATATGTGTTTTTGGTGTATGAAATATATATATATATATATATATATATATGTATGTATGTATGTATGGTATATGGTATTAATATGATAATTAATATCTATATAAATTCATGCTATTGCCTTTTAGCTTTACGTGTGTAGCTTGAAAATATTGTCTTCATTTACTTCTTGGCTCAGAACTTGATCGTTGAGTATTTCTCTAGTGGTAATGTCAGTGTTTTTGCAGTGCATGGCCTTTACTTTACCGAACTACAACACAAATTTGTTTGTAGACGATTCAAAACAATGCCATTGGTAATGTGAAGTGTCTAATCTCTAGGCTTAGGTAATATAAGATCTTGGATTTGAATAAATCTTATCATTTGCATAATGGGTTTCTAGTGACACAAGAGAAAGAACGCATAATCTTTTGATAATTTCACACCTAACACTATCATAAGGGGTAGAGTTCGAACTTTTCCATCCTCAAATTCAAAAAAAAAAAAAAAAAAGAAACAGTGACTTCTCTCGGCAACAGCCTTTCTTCTTCTTTTTTTTTTTTTTTTAAAGGACGCCTCTAATATAGAACTAGAGCACATTAAAAAATAAATAAATCTCATAGCATGCAATTCATGATGAAACTTAAGTGACGTTTGTTTTAAGAATTCTGTCTGATTTAAGATCATGATTCTTAGTTCTGTTACAGTGTTTTTCTCTCACAAAAAATTTGAATTTCAAATATTAAAATCATGAATCATGGTTTTAAACTCATGAACTAAACGTCACATTAGCTTCTATTAGTTGTGATGCTTAATATCGATCATGCTCTCAAACATTTCAATATATGTCGTGAATTTTTAACTTGAGTGATTGTTCGTATTTTTTTTAATAATCATTTATTGAAATATGAGATTTATGCACCTCCTAAATTTTTAAAGTGTAAGATAGTTGTACACTAATGGTTAGCGTTACTATGATAGCATAAAAGACTGAAATGCTTTCCATGTAGAGTTCTTTTCATTTCATTTTGGGAGAAGAGGAGAGATATGTGGGACTCCAATGATGGTCCACTGCTTTTCGGCTTTTTGATACGCACGGGTTCTTGTAGATGAAAATATCATCATTGGAGCCAACTACTACATTTATCATCTACTCCTTTGTAGATATGCCTACTTAATAATAATTGAAGCACATAATTGTATTTTTATTAACCGATAGCTAATTATAGTGACATCATTTTATTAATCTATAATTAGATTAGAGTCATCTTTTGCCTTTTATTGGGTGTCTTCTAATGCAAGGAATGTATGGAATATGGGTACATGTGAAGAGGGTAAGATTAGATGGGGGTTAGAATTTAGAAAACATAAAGCCTTGTGGCACATGGATGAGACCATAATCATCAGTTTGCAAAAGGGTCAATCCAAGAGACTTTTCTTTTTTAACTTATTTGCGGTTTCTTGTCTTTTGCTGTTGGGGGCTATACAATTTGGTCTGTGCCAAATGTTCTAAACGTAATTCCCATGTCTCCATTATGAGCAGTTTTGGCAAAATGCAGGTCAAAGTGCTAGGATCTCTCGCTACTTTTGGCTACCATTTTCTGATATGTAAGATTCAGTCATGAGTTGTGTCACTCCACAACCAATCTCATATGATCAAACAAATATGTAACAACAATCATACACTAGAAACTCACACAAGCAAAATTTTTTGTCAAAAAGGAAAGTGCATTAAAGCTAAGTGCAGATACTATTTAGGTTAAGCCTGCAACCACCAATCATAAATTTTCGAAAGACGGTAATCAACTAGATTAGTTGGTAAGATACGTTAAGGGCAGGAAGATAATATCAGTGAGGCTTGTAGTGCACAAGTAGGCTGTTTTGGTGACCGATAAATGCTAATGATTATTTGTCTAAGCATCAATATGTTGTTGTCTCCTTTGATTTAGTGGGACTTGGTTCTCTCTAAGAAGTTTGTCGCTACCAAAGAGGGGTCCTCAAATTTGCGTTTGTTCATTTATTTATCATTTATCATTATCATTAGAAGGGCCCTCACTTTTCCATCTTTAAGTTTCTTTTCCGAAGATCCCTCATTATGTTATTATTCGTTGTGTAGTGCCTTTCTGAGGAAATGTTTTTGTCCATCAGCTAAGAAGGGTCATTACTTGATATTTCTTCATCATTTTTCAGGACCCACTAAGATAACTTCAGGATACTCTTTTGTGGGTCCCTCTTAGACTGATAATTGGACAATGGAAGTTGACATTGTATAGGGGCTTTGCTTCATGTGTTACCTTTCATTTTCTGGCTCTTAAGAACCCCACAAAAAAAACACACTTTGTACGTATGAATGTATGAGCATGTTTTCTGTATCTGATTACTTCCTAAGCATGAGATTATCAAAAAGAAAATAGAAGAAAGATTTTATCCAAGTACTCTTTTGATTTGCTTACTGTTTATTCTTCTAGCTCTTGACTAGTAGTTTATTTGTATATATACATACATATATAGATATGTTCAATTGTATATTTTTCCTTTTCTCATATGCACGAAAAAAACATTGAATGAAAAATAAAGAAGAACGGCAGCCAAGTCAACAGTGCTTGCAATCTCATTTGTTGAAGCATTCACGAATTTACTACAACATGGGTCATTATTTTGATTGATACAAATAATTGAAATTATTTATGTACAAAACAGATTTTGGTAAAGGGTTTCACAAATTCCAGCAACCACAAATTACTGATCATTTAAAACAGCCTAACTACTACACAAATAAATGTATGCCATCTTATATCTTACTTCAAGATTCGCCTCCATTAAAACCATATGGTGTCTTCTTAAGTGAAATGTCCTCTCTTCTTGCTCAGAGGAGCCGGAGCCTCTCCGTTACCTGGGAATTCCCATTTGACAACATCTCCATCCCAAGAGGAGCTCACGAGCATTTGGTAATAAGGGTGCCAACTACAATCCCTCACAGGTGATTTGTGGTGCTTAAGAGTAGCAACTTGGGCTCCACTTACCTGCAAAGAAGTAACATGTAACCAGTGAAATGAAAAGACACACTTTAGTGAAGAGACGAGAAAACACACTGCTCATAATATTCCAGGTTGGCACAAGCCATTCATATCAGGTCATTTAGGTTAGTTGGGGAACATTTGCTAAAACTGACATGCATGAAATTTTCAGCTTTGCTACAGTTTTTTACCGCTCGTCTTTTGGTGGTCAAAAGTAAAGGCAATAGTAAATGTTTTATAAATCTTTTATTGTTATCGCTGACCAGTGACCATCGGTGAGGGTATTTCAGTGGAAAGTACAGAAATAAGGGAAAAGAATTGCATTCTCCATCTTCCCCACTAGCTTAGATGATATTGGTTTCGGATCACACAGGATAAAAGACTAGAAAGATAACAAGAAAGCAGTAGCAAATTTAATTGCATACCAAATCGTATACATAAACGCAAGAATTATGAGATCCCGTGTATATGTACTTCTGGCCAGTGCTGCAAATTTCAAGAAACATGTGAATTGAAGGTTCGAGCTATCATCAGTAGTGCCAAAATGTGTCAAAACTACAGAATGCTTCCAAATCAATAATTGGATATTGGGAATTCATGCAGATGTATAATAGCTTTATATCGAACTGTTGAACAAAAAGTTGAACGATTACCAGCATCGGAAATCAGCTTGTGAACTTTTGAACAATTATCAGATTACATGCGATCACAGCTTACCTATAGGCTGGCGAAAAGTAGCAGCGAATGAGAGTACGCAGGACCGAATGTCCTCTATATGTAAAGATTGATAGATCACCCGGGTGTTTCAAATTTTTTGCTTGGAGTGGATAGTCCATCCTTCTGTAGTCCCATTCATAATTCCTAAAGGCTGGGAGGCTGAATATACAAAAAGAAAGAATAAATAACAAAATGGTTGCACTCTCAGAATATTAATAAATAGGGAAACAAAAGTTGTAATTACAGGAATCCATACTCATGTTGACTTTTTCATAGGAAGATCCAAAAAACTTGGGCTGCTCAGCGAACAATTTTTTTTTTCCTACCTTCACTCAGCAAATGGATTTTACGGTACATGATTCATGCATGTATACTTTGTATATATCATTCTCTCAATTTTGCAACTTTACCTTTTTATATCATGCACAAACTCCCATTCCAGATGATGGCATAAAATAGGAAGTCCAATCCTATAGACAAAAGCCCTTTTTATATTGCATCTACTTTTAATAAACTCCTTACTGAAGTTACTTTTTAAATAATAGTACCAAGGTCAAATTTTCACTTCAATCCCCCAAAGGGAAAGGAACGGAAAAAAGGGTGAACTTTCTCATGAAGAAAAAGAAGGATTTCAAGAGCAACATGACAAGTCAGGAAGTAAGCATACCAAGTAGTAGCATTAGATGACATTTTCCGGATATCCCAAAGTTTGATGCTCTGATCTTTACCATTTGAAATGAAATAACGACCATCTCCCCTACTGTCTATGAACGTAATACCTTCTAGGTGTCCCATCAAGACACCTGCTGGCTTCCCTCTAGCAATAAAGCAACGTCTGTCCCAGACCTACAAAAAGCTATAAATTATCCTTGATAACTACTGCATTCTCATAATGTCATTGGTGCATACCAGCATACTAATAAGTACCAAGGCAGAATTTGGAAAGAAAATGAATCAAACACAAAGTTAGCAGGAAAATGGAATTGAGCTGGATTGTATTTAGACTGAAATTGATAAATAAGAACAGATAAGCAGCAGATATTCGAGAGATCTGCTTCTCCCCCTACAGCAAAGCTCAAAATTACAATCAGAATCCAGCTACCCTTGTAGTACCTCATTCATCCCCTTTTATTCATTCCCCAAAACGGGACTATCTCCTAAACCAGTAACTAACTCTCAACAATCCCTATGCATCCAATTTCCCCCCAAATTCGGCCCTTCCTAGACCAGCTAACAACTTTACACGCAGCTCAAGGGTGAGTGACCTCAATTACCCTTCTGCCCTTGCTCCTTTTTACGTCGAGCATAGGTGAAACGCATTGGGGGCTTATCATATACCAACTAAAATTGCATAGCAGATTGTCACTACTCCATCTAACAACTGAGTTCAAACACGGAATAAAAGAGAGATTTACAATGAACAAATGCTGATTTTTTTACCAAGCTCCTCCACTCCATTCATACTGGTTCACTAAGTTTTATAAAAGTCATAGACAGACACAGTCCAGAACATTGTGGTCCAAGATGGTATTCCCTACTTATAAAGTAAACTTTTTGACTAATGCCTTAATTTTGTTACTAAGAATGGAAATTGCCTGTTTTGGGCCACCTAGATGTTAAAGGTATGAGGCTATACCAGAGTCCCACAAAGCTTTGCCAAAGCCTTGATTTCCCTGGGCCTGGGATACGGCAATTAAATCCCTAAAAAAGCTGAACAAGAGAAGCTTCTTTATGAGGAGTGGTCCTGTCCTAGTCTAAAGCTTTATAAAAAGTGATCTTTGCGATGTAAAGCTTTGTAAAGAGTGGCCCAGCAATTAGTTTTAGAGCTTACACAAGTAACAGAAATGGTGGAGAAGCCTGTGTGCTGATTACTTGTGCAGCAAGCTTTTTTTTTTTTTTTTGGTGGAAAGGAAACTTAGAAGTACATACATGGACTGGAGCATTTTTTTAGTGTGGGTGTGTATGTTTATGGTTCTGAATTACCTTACAGAGAGCATCATCACTCCCCGAATAGATCAGGTGGCCACTTTCATCAGCAAAACATACAGTGTTCACGTCAGACTGCAAAAATGGAAAATGTATTAAACATAGAATTATCCTTTTTATATGATCAAATGAATCACACAAACATAGCACTTTGCATAAAATTGAGAATTCTCAGCACAAATGGGAAGATGCAACACACATGACAGGCTCCACGTTAAATTTTCCAATTAACCAAAAATTATGCGAACAAAAGTCAATTATAAAATAAACGAGATTTCTGTTGCTCTGGTTAATGTACCGTGTGCGCCTGAATACGAAGGGACACCCTATTTGCATTAAGATCATAAACGTGTATGGAATTGTCACTAGTTCCAGCAACAAGTTCTCTTCCATCTGTTGAAAATTTTACAGAAAAGATACTAAAGGAATACCCTCCATCATCCTCAGTAGAAAAATCAAAACCATCATGTATTTCCTGCATAAAGAAATGAGCTTTTCATATATCAGGCATGGTTATTTCCCAAGAAGAGAAAATTCCAGTATTCCAAATGCAATAGTCATTTACAATCGCACTTCTTGCATTGACTACTACATATGCATGCAGTATCCCATTTTATTCGCTTATATAATTTTCCATAATTTCTGCCCTTGATTTTAAAAGAATGGCAACTTGGGATATCACTATTCAATTGAATAATTCATACCGTAACATTTGCAAGTGACTCTGTTTGAGCAGACCCGACATTAACAATATGAACAATAGGGGACATGCTGGCATAGACCTGCAATGGCAGAACACGACTTGATTAAAGATAAGATTATCAACAAATATAAACACAAAAATATGTACACTGTTGCCTTTTGTGAGAAATTACAAAAATATAAAGCTAATATGAGATGAAATTACTAGCACGACAGAAAGAACAATGAAATAGTGTGTCTGAAACGTAGAGGCCATATAAAACAACTTTTGAAAAATTAAAATGCCACACATGCTAAATATGCTATCACTAGCTCGTCTCTTATTCTGCAAAATAATCACTAAACAGGACATATGAACAAATATTAGTTGGATTCTGTTTCTTTGTCCCAGCTACCAAAACAGATGACAGTACTTACAAGATGACGTTGATCCGAGGACAGTGATGTATCGGTAATAGTCCATCGCAAACTTTTGGCAAGAATGTTTTTCCGCACTTTCCAACCTCTATCCACGTTGTATATTCTAATATGACTTCCCTGCAATGAATTTTCATTCAAATTGAGAAACAAATAGAATGGTAAGAGACAGAGTAAAAGTATCGAAACTAGATTTCAACCTGCCAACTTAAAATTTTGAAAATATCTCTACGCCAAAGATTTGCATTTTGAAACAATTGTTTTTGGGTTGTTTTTTCCTCAACTATATTGCCAAGGAGATCTTTACAAACAAAATAGCTGCTAGGCTATTTCCCATTGAGAACATTTAACGTACTCTTGTTGGGAATTAGATAAATTACCTGGAACCCAGCCACAAAAAGAGAACCATCTGCAGAAAACTGCGAGACATAGGCGCGAGAATTCATTTGGTCCACTAGCCATGGACCATTAACTGGCAAGTATCTACTCAAAACATGACAACAATCCGCGGACGAGAACCTCCCTCTTCCCGAGTAGTTACCTTCTCGACGGGCCAGCATCTTCACCGTGGACACCGGCAGCTCCCTCTTCCCCGGTCCAACATGGCTTAGCAGCTCGTGAGGCCCTGATCTTAACTTCGTGATCTGGGCTATCTCGTGGTCTAACTTACTCAACGGCCTATTGGATCTACTACTACTACTGACCTCGGGCATCTTATTCCCTACATCACAAAGATCTGATTCTAACTCAAGTCTGCTCATCGAATAACCCATCTCATCAACTTCAGCAGCGTCAGCTGTAACATACATTCTAGTAAGACCACACACAATATTTTGTAGAACAAAACCAGTCAAAATGAAGTTGAACCTTCTTCATATCACTTCCATCACTTGTGTTCTAATCATTGGAACACTGCAAAGACAAAAAGTCACAGGCCATAAAAAACAAGAAATTACCAATAACTTAATACCCAATGTGAAAGAAAAAAGAATCTCTTAAGTGCCCATCATATGGAGTAAAACTTGAAGAAAAAGTGTATCAAGTTCCTCTACATGAACTGAACTGAGGTCTGAAAATACTTCCCTTAACATTTTCTTGTGAAACTTTTATGAGATGTTTTTCTTGTTGTCCACTTATCCAAACAAAAGCTAACCTAACAAAAATGAATTAACAATTCCCTCAACAGTACAGCAAAATCATAATCTACCAAGTAAACGCTACATCATCTCTTCAAAACAACATTTGAATTACATAATTGAACTATAAGAGAAACCATAATCTACGGAATTCAAGACCACGAATTCAATAATTCGATCGCTTCCAAGAAACAAAAAGATAAACCCCTTAAAGAAACACTGAAATTCAAGGCTAATTCAGCCACGTAAAACAAGAAAAAAAATTGTAAAAAAAAGTCAACAACCAAGAAAGATTCAAGAGGAACTTACAAAATCCTTTGAAGTTTGCAAAGCTGAGATTGTTGTCGGTCCCAAGATTTTGGTCTGTAATATATACGACGAGTGGATAATATACAACAAAGGAAAACACAAAAAAAGGAAATTAGTATATAATATTGATTGATATAATAAGTTCAACAATCTAACAAAGGAAATGGGTTGTGAGAGTTTTATTATAGGGATTAGAATATGAAGCAGAGTTGTGGTGAAACATTTATCTACGTCGCACAAAGGCTGTTTGTTGAGTTCTATTTGCCACTCTCACTCTTTATACTCGTCTCCACTGACCACCACGTACTTGCCCACATAGTAATTAATTTTTTTGTCGGTTTTTTTGTTTAATTTTTTTAATAGCAATAAAAAGAAGAAAAATTATGAACAGTATTTATTTAAATTTTAACTATTTTTTTAACTCGTGATTGGGAGATTTGAATACTTCTCTTTACTAGTTGAAACACGCGTTCCGTGTGTAAGTATTGAATATGTTACATTTTTTTAGACACATATATTTAAAAAATATATATTAGCAAAAAAAATATTTAGACAAGCGCATATTTAAAATTATTTAAATGAAGCACATTAGATAGTCAAATTTAATTAAGCACAACTAAAAAAAATACAAGATTTAAAATGAGCAAAAAAACAAAAGGATCAAAATGCACTTTTTGACATAAATTGTTTTAATAAATCATAGTTATGAATATAGATATTTTTTTTATAAAAAGTACGTTTCATCTTGTTTCGTCCGTCCTTATTTAAAAACTCATTTACAATTAGTGAATGAAATAAAAAAAATAAAGGCAATAGGTAGGTAATTGTGGGGGGCAAATTAAAAAAAAAAGACAATAGGTAGGAAAAAAAAAGTGAGAAGAAAAAAAATTAAAAAATAGTCTAAAAATAAAAGAAGAGAAAGAAAAATAAAGAGAATAACAAAATTAAAAAAAAAAAAAAAAGTGGAGGCCAACACATGACATTTTTAGAAGCCAACTCTTTAGCTCTCTTAAGTATGTACTAGTTGAGTCGCGTACTACGCACGTAGAAAATAACTTTATAAGATCGATCACGCGTCAAAATACGTGGTCTTCTTAGAAATTAATTCTTTGATTTGAGTTTCTAATTCGAGCTGAAATGTAAGTTTTTGTGAGAGCTTTTTACTGTAGCAGAAAAAAATTAGATATGACTTTTTGTGAGAGTTTTTTACTGTAGCAAACTGAAATTGAAAACTCAAATTAGAGAACTGGACGAGATCGAAGTCCATTAATTAGAGTAAAAGAAAAAAAATATTTCAAAAAATTGCATCGAAAAGTAATTAAAATTATATTAGAATTTTGAAAAAAAAAAAAACTTAAGTAGAGATATATATAGAACGAATTATTTTAATTAAAAGAAAGTTAAAAAAAAAGTATTTCAAAAAAGATATTGTAAAAAGTAATAAACTGTGAAAGAATATTAGAAAAAAAAACAAAAAGAAAAAGATGATAGGCAAAAAAAAGAAAAAAAAAAGATGAAATGATAAAAATAAATTTTATAGGAGATATAAGAAAAGTGAAACGAATTAATAAAATAAAAAACAAAACATGAAGAATAAATAAGAAGATAATACATGGTTAAATAAGAGACAATCTTTTTGCTTTTTTATGTTTGTTTAAATTAGACTAGCTAAAAGTTCGCTTGTTGTTGTGGAAAATACTGTTGTATTATATAAAAAGTTAAAAAATTTTATAATATAAAAAATTTGGCAACAGTGGTAAAACGGATAAAATTGAACTCCAAATCAATTCAAAATAGTAAATAACTATAATAAAGAATAAAAATTTAAAAAATAAACCGGAAATTGTTTAAAACCGTCCGATTAAAAATTTAGACGGCTGTGATTCGCGCGTGAAAAGCACGCACAAGAGAAGCGCGTTCAGCAGGGGGAAGAGAGCACATTCGCAGTGGTAGGCCCTGCCACTTTTTCCTTCGGCCAGCTGGGCATCGACACGTGACAATCCTAGATTAAAAGACGCAAATGCCCATGCATAGAGAAGGGAAAAGAGAAGAAACAAATGATAAAATTAATGGCCGTGTTTTGAATTGATCTCATTTTTATTTTTTATGTTTTTCAAGAAAGAAAAAATGAAAATGTTTTTAAAACGACGTTTGGCGCAATAAAGACAAAAAATAGAAATGATACGATTTTTTAGTTTAGTGTAAAATGAGAGAGAAATGAAAAATGATTTTTAGTCGTTTTTCATTTTTTGTTTTCATTTTCTCCTCTCTCGAGCAGAGAGAGAGACATTAATAGATTTTTTATACTGAAACAATCTCTTGATAAAACTACCAAACGCATTTTTAAAAATAATTTTTGTTTGAGATTGAAAACGTTTTCATTTTCATTTTCATACAAAAAAAACAAAAATTCGCACTCAAAAAGAAGGGGACATAAGCAGAATTTTAAAAATGTTACTGTATAATGAATAGTAAATTGTAAGTGTGTGAATAGTTAATCTTTTCTTTCTTTTTAGTATATATAATAATATGTATAGATGTACAGATAGTAGAAATAGGAATGCAATTACCGTTATATTGATAACTACACTAGTTAAATTATATTAGATTAGATATTAAACATTGCGTTAAAAAATATTTTTGTAATATTGTAAACAAAAAATAATTCGTGGGCTAAAATTTATGACCTACTAACGGCGCCGTCTAAAGTGAACGGTCAAAGAGATTAGAAAACGACATGTCCATTTATTAATGTGAAATGTGAAACACGCTATCCTTCTTAATTTTCAGCAAACGACTAGGTAGCGTCCCATGGTTTGCTTAGACAAAAATACATGTCGTTACGCATAAATCGATTTATGTCGTTTATGGTGAGGCCGTTTCAACCAAAACTTGAAAAAGACGTGCCAACACAATGTCGTTTCTTTAGGAATATGAGAACTCCATGTCGTTTAATCAATAAAAAAAATGAAAACAAGATGGTTTCGCCTGAAATATTGAACAACCTCTCTTCCTTTTCTTTTTTGTTTAAACTGAGCGAGCACCTTTCTTGCAGTTGGGAAAATGACACATTCATATATCAAAGAATTCTAAATCGCCGTCTCATCCGCTCATTTTATTCATGTTTTAATAAGAGCACAATAATATCACAGATGGATCGTTAGTGCAACGTTTATAAATATCAGATGTCAGCATTATCACATTTAATAGTTTAGAGGGTAAAATGAGAAGAAGAGTATTTCTTGGAGCTAAAATAAAAAAAATAAAAAAAAAAGCTTATTTCAAAAGTATCAAGATAATTATATCTTAAAAATTAATATTAGGTATAACAGCTTAAGGCGTTCTATCTTTCTATAACATTTTCTCCTCAGCCTTTTCTCATTCACAGAACGCCAGACCTCTGGCCATAAAAACCTCATCCCTGACCTTGCAGTGAGATGATCTACAAGGTGATTGGCTCTGTGTTACCAGAGGAAGTAGCGTTTCGTCAGATCTGGCTTGTGAAGGTATGAGTTTCTCAATGGTTTTACATGATCTTTAGAGGTGTTTGCCGATCGTGGACTCTAGAAACTCATGGACAGACTTGGGCGAATTGCTTGCTTGTGGTGTTCACACCACTCCAACGAGATCTCTCTTGTGTAGGTTGTGGATTTGTGTATAGTGTTTTGTAGTTTGTTTGTTCTTTATTTTGCTGTAATAATGGCGATGGTTTCCCTATCTCCCGGTGTGTTCCTCCAGCTAAAGGGTGGTTTGCCCAACTCTCTCTTGGTCTATGGTGTTTTCTCCCTCAGCTGTTGGCTTCCCTACCGCTGCTAGTCTGAAGTATGTGTGCATGTGTAAGGTCTATTACAGGACTAGAATCTGGCTCACTTTGAGTCGATTTTCTGTGGCCAAATGTTATAGAGCCACTTTTGGGAGTTATCCTCCCCATTATTAGATTAAGGTGTGTTTCTAATGTCTAGTCTTATGTGTGGCACCCATTCATATGGCTTTGATGCAGTCATGTATTATAGCCCTTGGGTGATATTTTAATGAAATTGTCATATTTATCTTAAAAAATGAATATTAGGTGTTAAAATAAGATAAATGATAATTGATCGTTGTTAGAATTAACTATTTAATTTTATAAAATTTATCAACGTAAAAGATTGAGTCAACCAATCTATATGGTTTTTCAAGACTTTTATATTAGTCAAAATGAGAAAGGTGACTGTATCTTCTAAAAATAGACCAAAATTATAACTTAACGTGCCATCATTTTTTTTTTAGGATTAAAATTATCTGTACTGCTTAAATTTTAAGATCATTCTTATATCGTTACTCGAACTTTAACAATTTTTATTTTCATTTTACTCCATAAATCTTAAATAATCTCATTAATCCCTCATTATTAGAAATTAGAAATTTATGTTATAAACAAACAGAAAAATATTAAGCAATTTTGTTACGTGTTCTTTTGACATAATTTATATTAGAAACAAAAAGAAAATACAACAATAACCTCATATTTTTTTTCATATTTTCTTTTAATAGAATTTGTAATAAATAGTTGTTAAATTGGACTAATTCATAATTCAACAGAATAGAATAAAGTTTATAAATTTCGGAGAATAAATCGAAAATGATACTAAAATTTATATGCACAAGTGAGATTATAGTTTTCTTTTTTAAAAAAAAAAAGAAAGAAAGGAAAAAAAAACGTCGTCAAAATGATTTCAAGCCCATGAAAAAAAAAAAGATATTTAAACGACACATCATCAAAATGATGTCGTTTCTCCGTGACCCCCAACATCTCACAACCCAGTGGCTCTACCCGCAGCCGCCTTTAGCTGTCCCTTTCCTTCCCTCAGTCTCTGATACCTTATCTTCCATGGCCAAAACCCTTCCAAAACCCTAGCATGAAGAAGATATCCCTCACCACCCAGCCATGAAGCGAGCCTGGAAGGTCTCAGAGCTCGCCCGAGCAGAGATCCGCCATGGATGCTCCTCCAATCCCCGAAGCCTTACCCACTTCCTCTTCACCCTCAAGAAATCCGCAAATCACGGTTCCGTTCGCGACCTCAATGTCGATGCCGACACCCACTCTTCTTCGTCGTCTTCCTTCGATTCCTCCGCTTTGTTCTCCAACATCTCCCGCTTGTTCACCGCCAAATCCCCGACGACGTTAAGCGAGACACTCACAGAGGATCTCGCGCAAGAGGTCGCCCAACTCAGGGACGCCCTCGCTCGGAACCTTCATGACTCCGATGAGGTCGTTAGGGTTCTTGAAGAGAATTGCGGTCCGTTGCTGCGGAGGTTTGCCGGTGGATCCGCCATCGTGCACTTGCTGAAGCAGCTCGATTCGCGCCCGAGTTTAGCTCTAGAGGGTTTTTTTTTTTTTTTTTGTCCTGCTTTTATTCCATATTTTAATTGGCTTTTCGTCCTTTATATACCAGAAAATTTAAACTTCAGTGTAAATTTCGTGTTTTTGAGCTCGGTATTTTACGTAATCCAATTGGTTATTGCTTCGTAGTGATGAGAATATAAATTTGGTTTTTGTGGTAGTTTATGTGTTGGTTCTATTTGATTCTGAATGAAGATTGCAGGAATAAATGAGCTTATTAGTGTTAGATGGTTACTGGGTAGTTCTTTTTCCTTTTACCAACCAAAAGGTAGTAACTTTATCAATGAATACGTGAAAGATCAAATGTATAGCAGAAAACCATCGCAAAGAACATTGGAATTTTCACACTTGCTTATCTTTGTTTACTTTGGCATAATGGAGATTTTAATTATGCTTGTAAGGTTCTTAATTGGAGAAGAAAGCAAGAAGATTGTGAATTTCCAATGACAGAAGAAGAGTATGCCAAGGGTATTGCACTTGCTGGTAAAGTCGAGAAAGTTGGTCTTGCTATTGAGCTGTTTTCCGAGGCTGCAAACAAGCAACTGAGGACGACCTCAACATATAACGCCTTGATGACTGCTTATATGTTCAATGGTTACGCCCATAAGTGCGAGTCGTTGTTTTGGGCCCTGAAGAGAGATCCGAATTGCAGTCCTACCATTGCAACGTACAACATTCTTATCTTAGTCTTTGGTCGATTGTTGCTACTTGATCACATGAAGTTAACTTTCAAGGAGATAGAGAATTTGAATCTCTCTCCTAACTTAAGTACATACAATGCGCTAATTACTGGGTATATTAGAGCTTGGATGTGGGATGACATGGAAAGAACTTTTCAACTGATGAAGGAGGGCCCTGCTAAGCCTAGTACCAGCACGTACTTGCTAATGCTACGGGGATTCGCACATTCTGGTAATTTAGAAAAGATGGAACAGATGTATGAATTAGTAAAAGATTATATGACTCAGAAGCATAACCCGCTGATCAGAACTATGATATGTGCGTACTGCAAGAGTTCCGGCAAAGAAAGAATTAAAAAGATTGAGGAACTAATGAGGCATATTCCGGAAGAGGACTATAGACCTTGGTTGAATGTCTTGCTAATTAGGGTCTATGCTGAAGAGGATTGGATAGAAGCAATGGAGAAATCAATAGACGAGGCATTCGAGCGTAAAACTACTGTACAAGCAATAGGTGTGATGCGATCCATTACGACTACTTACTTCCGCTCCAAGGCAGTGGATAGACTTGCAACTTTTATTAAGCGTGCAGAATCTGCTGGATGGAGAATATGTCGGTCCTTATACCACTGTAAGATGATTTTGTATGCATCAGAAAAACGTTTGGAAGAAATGGAGAGTGTCCTTAACGAAATGGAGAATAGTAACTTAAGCCAAAGCAAAAGAACACTTTGGATTTTATATAAGTCGTATTTAAGTTGCGGTCAAAGAAATAGGGCTGCACAGGTTATAGGATTAATGTGCAAGCATGGGTATGAAATTCCTATGACTGTCTTACCATCATGATCCAGCCATTGCATAATCGCATTCCTATGCTAGATGTTGTATAAAGCATTCAGTCCATTTTTGTGAATGGTTCATATCATATAAGAGATGCAATGGGGATTCAGTACCAATTAGAGGTACGTATCTGGTCTAAAATCTTTTATGCTCTAAAATTTTTCTTTTCTTCCGTTTATTATAACTTATACAACATCCTAACATTTTCTGGTAATGATGTAAACGATTTTCTGTTAATGATGTAAACAATTATTTTGTTACGTTTAATATTTATATTGTATGTAAGGCCTGAATCAAAATCAGTTGCATAGTCAGTTTCATCACTCCATCAGCTCCTCGGGTCAGAAGGTGTCATATGACCCACTATTGTGCCTCTTTGTTACTTGATCTCTTTAGTAGAACCCGTAAAACTAGTGATCTTTTCTCTGGAGGGTAACTACTGATCTTCTTTCCCAACTATTGGAAGTGGTCATAGGGAAAACAAAACAGGTTTGACAAGCGGTTTTGGATTATTTGAGACTGGTTGTTGTAGCGATTGACATCAACTACCTTTAATTGGTTTAGCTTCTGGACCATGAAAAGTGTTGTTGACAGGAGAAAGGGACTTCTACCAATAATTGTTTGGACTAGAAGAATCTTTCTGATCGAAGTACCAATCCATTTTGTCTGAGATTATACTTTACCCTAAGAATTATAGACAACTTATTTGGATGATGGAATTGGAGAAGTGAAAAAATGGAAGGAATGGTTTTGCAGTTTTTGATTCTTTATCCAATAGAGGCAAGTAAACTATATGTTTCCTTAGAACTTTTGTTAGAATTTCTTGTTGCTCTTCCATATTGAAAGAGGCTGCTTTAGTTTTTTTTTCTTTTTTTTTTTAATGCTTCCTTTGATTGAGTATTACAGTTTACAAACATGGAAAAGTTATTACCGTTTGACGTGTTCCTTTAGATGATTGATGATCCCTTGTTACTAGATTCTCGTGTTCCTCTATTTCTCTCTTCTCATTAACTGCTACTTCTTACCAACCTCAAAATGTTTTGGTTCAGTACATTGTATCTTGTCCAGTTGTCCTAAGACTTTTGTTTTGTCCAAGTCAGCTGAATCTCATAGAAGTATTGGAAACATCACATCAGAAGCATGTTATATATATATATATATATATATATCATTTTGTCACTTTCATCTTTCTTTTGGAACGATATAGGAGATTGAACTTCACTAACACTACCATCTGCTAGAGTGTAACTCACGTTTATTGAAACCTATAATGACATTGATAATGTGGAGCTTATCAGCAGAATACAAGTACATGTTCATTAAACCATAATAAGTTTGACAAGGCTCACCTTATATAGCAGCATTCTTTCATCTGTTGTCCGTTCAATTAGATGCGTAACCATTCAAGTGATCTTCATCAAATTTTAGTTTATTCAATTTTAACTTTCACTTTGTGCACGTTTGCGTGTGTATGAATGTTTTAACTTTAACACCCGTTATTCTTTTTTTCTGTTTTTTCTTGGCTGATATCATCATGTTTCTATATGTTTGCGAATCTAATCGGTTGACTATATATTCTATTGCAGAACTGTATATTATTTGACGGACCAACATTACCAAAAAAACTGAATGCTTAGAGAAGTTTAAAGAAAAAGGTTGTACCAAAACCAGACAGACTACATTTTTTTATTTTTCGGCTGCTCAAAGTCCCAGCGCTCCTCGTGTATACCACCAGATTGACAATTTTGTAGAGTACTAAATTGACAGAGAAGATACAACTATTAAGCGGTATTTATTCTTTGGCAATACAGCTATGCAAATAAAGATCCCCATTATTGTTTATCATTTTCTTAAAGCACAATCCCTGAAAGCACTGAGGGTGGTGTCGGATTCTAATCTAAAACAAAAGAGCAGGATAATAATAGTTGGAAACACGGGTCATGCCATTGTCAAGTTAAACATTTTGTTAGATTTATTGACTAATCTCAGATTGCTTGAACTATTTTTCTATGATTTCTTAGTTAACTGTAGGGCAACAAAGAAAGAAAATAAAAAAAAAACATTTTTTTTTCTCTTGTACTGCGTAAAATTCTTAAAAAAATCTTTTTATAGGGTATGGAAAAAAAAACCCTCTTGATAGGATGAAGATTGAATCTTTCCTCTTTTTTTTTTTTGTTTTTTTTGTTTTTTTGGACCATATGAGGATTTGAATCTTAATACATAAGAATCATATCATATATTACCTATAAAGAAGGAATTATATCATACTACTAAAAACATGACAATTTTCCATTGGGGTGAAGATGAGCCATTAAAAAGCATTTTTAATCGGTGATAGACAATCTCCTTCACAGATGATCTTAATCCCACCCCTTAAAGATAGCCAAGGCCCACCCCCTAAACGAATTGTTGAAGATTCTATTTGAGTTGCTAATTATCTGTTTGCTTTCAAGTTCTTCTAGATCCCGCGAAAGTTAACCGATTTGGTTCATAATGTTACAAAATGGGCTTTGGTTAATGGGTTGTTCGCTTGGTTGAGTGGATTGATAATCTTTCACAAATTCTTTTTAAAAGTGCATGATCATGAACTTTATTTTTTATTTTTGAATATTTTTAGTTAAATAATTATACTAATAAAATGATATTTATTAAAAATAAAAAGTAAAAGTCTAGACTCATATACTCTTAAGGATAAATTTTTCATTTTTTTATTGAAGTCCCTAATAATTTATTTTTTTATCATTGCCTCTGTGTAAGCTTTTGTGCCCTTCGGTTTTTTATTATTTATTTATTTTATTTTATTTATAACTATCATTTTGGGGCTTCGTTTGTTGTTCTTCTTCCTATGTATTTTTCTTGTAAAAAAATATGACAATTCAACATGCTAAGTTGATAGTTTAAAATTGTAACAATACGGATAAGGTATTTTTTTCGTATCTAGTCACAATGTTATTTGTAAGAAATGAAAATGAAAGGAGAACTTCACGGTTAGGTTTAAAAAAGAAAAAAAAAACCGGCCAAGTTAGGCACAGTTTTGAACTTTGGATTATTATAAAGGCCATATCAAAAAAGTATATTAATGAATCTTGATTTTCCTTGACATTTCATAATTGTATATATGATGGTTTTTTTTTTTTTTTTTTTTTTTTTTTTTTACCCTTTCCAAAAACCTTTTTTTTTTTCTTTTTTTTTTTTTTTTTTTTGTTCTTACCCTATCCAAGAACTCTTTTTTCTTCTCTAGTACCACATGTTCTTTCCTCGTATTTTAACATTAGCAACTCTAATAATTGTATATATGGTGGCTTTTGGCCCCTCGAGATTGATTAAAGTTAGCCAGCGGTATATTTAAAAAAACTATTTGTTTGCTTCATTAGTTGTGTACCTTTTCGGTTTTTATTTATTAAAATTCGGTACACATTTTATTCCGTAAGCATTTTAAACAAGTTTACTGATAATTTTAGTTTGTAATTGGGGTTGAATCGCTGTTTGCATTGAGGTTTTTTCGCGTTTGAATTAGTGTTTGAATAATTTCCTTAAATAAAAACAGAAAACAAAAAACATTTGCAACTCTACCAATTTGACATTCGTTGGTTGAAACATTGTCGTTTAATAGCAGAGAAACTTCCTCAATATGCTCTTTATATATTATATATATCACGAGCTAACGTTTGCTTGACGTTGGAAGTTAGAATCTTGTGTGTTAACGTTTCAAATAAATCTACTGATAATTTTGATTTATAGTTTGGGTTGAGTCGCTATTTATATTGAGATTTTTTCGCGTTTAAATTAATGTTTGTATCTTTCTGATTTGTAATGCAATTTCCTTTATTAAAAAAAAAAAAATAGCAACTTTACCAATTTAACATTCAACATTGTCGTTTAATAGCAAAGAAACTTCCTCAATATGCTCTTTATATGTTATAGTATATGTTGACGGTGATTTCTCGTCAACAAAAAACCGCCCGTGTTACCTTTTGATTTCCCTTAGGATTACCGGCCTATGTGTTGAATGTGTGTGAAAGTTTATTGTTTTTGGACGTGCATAAGTAAAGAAGACAAGAAGTTTTATAGTGGTTCACTCTGTAAAATTAGAGCTACATCCACTGTGGTTGTGAATTTCTTTTTGAGGGGATTACAATTTACATCAATTGCTATCTCTCACTCTATTGTTTCTCTGCTTGGATCTCAACCCCCTCCTCGTAGGGGGTCTCCCTTCTTTTATACTGGGCTTTTTTCGCTGGGTGGCTTTCCCTCCTAGGCAGAAGCACTCAAGTGCTTTCCCTTTTTAGGCCCAGAAGTAGCCCATCAATCAACACTGTTCACTCAGCCAATTAGTCTTCTATTACGGCTCTGTGCGCCCCTGTAACACTCTCCTATCCCCTGTGGGACGGTTTAAGAGCTCGCCATTAATGCCTGCTGACGTCCCCCACTTTTGTACGCAACTTGTCACGTTCTCTAGAGAACGTTACCCTCGTCGTCAGCGACGCTTAGCCCAAACGTCCTTCTTGGTGATTGATTCTGCGGTCGAGGGATTTTTGTACCTCAAGCTCGGCAGCACGATCTGTTGACGTCAGGAAGAGTCATCGCCCTACGTTGGACTTCATGCTTGGGCCCTTTAGAGCTGTAGACGTCAAGGGTTATTGCTTGGTGGGGAGTAGTTAGGGCCACGTGTCGCTTTATCATTTGCCCAGGTGTCCGTCACATTTTCCCACACAACAGCCACCCCTCAGGTCGAGGGCTCCTTTTGGGCGCCCTCGAGCTTTGGTTCGGTCGTACCTCCGTGCTTCGGGTGTGGGAAACCGGTCCCAAGCCTCCGTTTGCAATGATGCCTGGACGCTTTGGATTTCCTTTGGGGGACGCAACAGTCGCGTCGGTCGATTCCCCATGATGACGTAAGGCCTCATTTTGAAAGGACGAGTGCGAGCCTTTGGATCGCGACTCTTCCATTTCCCGCCCTTGCTTGTCACCGTCAGATCTGGGCAGGACCCCCTTACCGTTGGATTTAAAAAGTCCTCATCCGACGGTCAGGGGTCGAGGACTCTCGCCCCTTTAAATACCCTCTTCAAACTAAAAAACCATTTTTTTAAAAACGCAAACAACCCCCGTACCTACTGAACTGCCCTTTGCTCCGTTGGACTCCTTTTCCACAAAACCTCGATTCATACTTCTTGCTTCTCAAGGCGTGTTGCATTCAACCTGAGATTTTCTCCCCGGAACCCTTTTTTCACCAGTAAGCTTCATCATCCTTTGTTTGTTTTGCTTACTCATGGGGTTTTTTTCTGTGTTTTTCTGGTTGATTCACATATGTATGGAGATACGCAGAATGTAGAAATTCGGGATACTTACTCTGTTTTACTTTGCCACATAGGACAATTCTGTTTCCATCTTACTGTTGTCAATGTTCTTCTGGTTTCTGGGTTCTGAGGGACTTGAAATTCTATGAGCACTCGCCGTTACCATTCTCGTATGAATGGTCGACGTCAAGTCAAGGCGTATGAGTAGTCATCATTTAGAATAGTCACCCTTTTCTTCCTCTCGACGTTAAGATTTTAACTCAGCTCATTGCCTTTTTAATCATCAGAACAATGGCCCAAAATTCCCCCAGTCGAGAGGATCCTTCCGTCGTCCGTCCAGACTCCCCTTCAATGGTGGAGATCTCGTGGTCTTCTTCGTCTTCAGGCGTCGACTCCGTACTGAGGGACATAGAAGACGCCGAGGCCGGATATGAAGCCGGATATGTACCAGGTGACAGCTTCGGTAGTGAATTCGACAGTGTAGAGCGGATGTTGGATGAGGCGGTAGAATGGATCCCCTTCACGGGGGGCAGTGTGGGCGGGGTGGCTGCCTCGATGGTAGATGCCCCCCTGGCTGCCACAAGTGGTGATCCGGATAGGCCCTTTTTTACTGCTGATGTTGTGGCGTTGAGGGTCCGGAATAAAGCTATCGTCCGGGCTGTAAAGGAGGGATGCATCGATGGGAGGTGGTTCGAATACCTCCTCCCGAACATGCATTTTAGGACCAGCATGCCACCGACCGGGTACCTCCTGGTTTATACTAGAGCCGTTACGGTAGGGATGACCCTCCCAGTTCATCCTTTCGTAAAGGACTACTGCCATTTTTTTGGCATTTCCCCCGCTCAACTGGCGCCGAACTTCTGGTACTGCTTCGCCAGCGCCTGGATTTTGTGGCACCAAAAGTTTGATATGGAACTCCCTGTAGACGAGTTCTGGTTTATGTACAAACTATGCCACGTCGCCAAGTGTGAGGGGTGGTATTTTTTGAGCGGACATGGGAGATCTCAGCCCAGATTCGGGAAGTTGATACTGGGGATTCCCTCGTCGTCACATGGGTGGAAACCCATATTTTTCATGATTCACGGGCCTTTCAATTTTCACCTCAGCGACCGCCTGCCACGTCGAAGGCAGGTGCAGGCGGTGTTTGGGAACATGGGTGAGAATTTTGGCTTTCTTTTACCTTACTTCGCTTATTTCTTTTTCTTCGCATGCTGACAATCTTTCTTCCTTCAGTTAACCAGGATCGGCCGAAGTTTTCTGGGAACAACTTGGCGAGAGTCAAGGAGGCCTTTTCGTATCCGTCCGAGGTTCGCCATATAGATACCCTCCTGACCCATGCCAATCTTCGAAGTGCCGGGT